TATAATTTGCCACCCAGTTCACAAAATAAAAACTAAACGAGCCAAGTGCTGATCAAACAAGAGTTTCATGCATGTAAATTTGTAATCAAGCCACCTAAAAGTTGAACGCAATGACGATAGTACAGATAAGTGTCGGTCAAATAATGGTGAAGACTGAAGACTGACTATACACAATGTAAGAGTTTGTTCATTGTGTGGAATATCAAACGCCATAGGAAGTGTATATGAGATTTGTATACGAGGCGCTGATATAAACAGTAAAATATATTCGAGCTTAATATTAGGTTTTGTCCAGGGTCATGCATTCGGATGGACGTGATCCAAAACTGGATAACGTCAATCAAGTGTTAATCGAAGCTGATTTGCCGGGCTGAACTGATTAAATTCTAACTAAACTAGACTATTGAAAAGACTACTGATATACATTGACTGAGCCATAAGATGAAACTGTCTACTGTCCTGGTCAGGAAAGCAGCAATATAGCTATAAGACTAAGTCCTGAATTATATCCGGATATCCTTAGTTACAGGGGAAAACACTTTTGCCGTTAGGCAAAATATGTTCAAATATTTTCATCAACGAAAACTCAACACAGATGCTGTGATGAACGTATTTGTTGTTTGTTTTACAAACAAGCAAAATCAAAGTTGAAGGTTGGATCATTTTCATCCACCACGAGTCATGATTGTTTTTGCCCTGCAAGGACTTCGATCAAACCATGATATCATCAATATATATATATATATTTATAAAGGTAAACAGCGAATGAAAAATAATAGCCTTTTCGGTTCAGTAACTACACTTTATATAGTTATGTATAAGAACGTCTTCTGTCATAAACATTTTGAGGTCAATAAAGACAATATTATTTTTGCCTCACTCGTATCTGCAAGGCAGGATTACTAATTTTAGAATAGGCCGTCGTGTCATGCATGGTGAAATAAGAAATGATGCAAAATTTACACCAAAGGCGAATAGACCGAAATACATGACCATGCATGATCAATAAATACACGACATTACTGCATGTATGTACAAAATAATGTATAGTTACAACTTGGCATGTTGGTATATATGTATAACTTCTTTTATTACAAAATGACTGAGAAATGAAAGCGAAAACCAATCTATGCAGTGCGAGCACCGACTTTCTACGACAGTATACGACAGTTATCTATAACATAGTCATGTAGACGGGCATTTTCATATATATTATAAGTGATATTGCTTTGAAACTAGTTTTCACATAACTACATGCATCAAGGATGGGGATATAACTTTCTGCCTGCCACTGGATTAATTCTCACGTCTTATAAGGTCCCGTCCCAACAAAAACGGCCTAATAAAGTGATAATGCCAAGAATAATAAACGAAAAAGCCGGCAATCACATCACATCTGGATCCTTTTTATGCAGCTATAATTTAGACTGCATGGTTCGTATAAATAACCCCGTAAACAACCATATACAGATTCCGTTCTACTGCAGGAAACTGAGACTGCATGTACCTGAATATTCATTGCATGTTTGCACTGAAATGGCACGTAAATTTGGGTCCACTTTTAAGCATACACTGCATGTGTTCCTGCTTAAAAAATGCTGAAAATGTTTTACATTGGAATATTACAGAATATTGTCAGAAAAACCTTGGTGATTTTTCTATTAGTTTAGTTGACATTATTTATTAAAAAGCGTGCATGTGGCACTCTCTAGTTTCATCTGTATAAATGCATGCGACCCGCATTTGCTAGAAATTTCTCAACAAATTAGTAACGAGGAAATATAGAATGTTGTCGAAATCAAAGTCATTATTTGCTTAAAAAACGTAAATATCATCCGTATATCGTCTATTTCTAAAATAGCACTTGAAGGACTATAGCACTGGGGAACAATTGGACACATTGCGTTATTTTTTGCCTTACTGACGTGAGTGTTTTGGTATTTGACGCGGTGGTTGCACCTTTGATGATGAGCTAAAATTGAGTACTTTTAAAACTCTGCGTCGGCTATTAATTTTCATTCATGCCACTTCTATAAAAAGAGACACAAAACTGGCTGAAATTCCGTCTGATGAGAGGGTTCAATTTTATCGTTCGGGCTGCCCGTGGACCATAACCAAATATAGTCTGAAGTATTTAAAATCTCATTTTCAACCCAATAATATAGTTGAGAATGTTATCTATTTAGCAGGTATATTTCTTTTCCAAACAAATTTAGAAAGCGGCGGAATCATAAGGAATGAACTTCGTTAACAATTTATGAATGGTTGTGTCAACAAACCGTCGTTTAGTTTTTAAACAATACAAAGTGATGAACTTCGTACGTGGGAGGTCAAATACTACATCTAGACCTAGCAAAACTATGATCGTGCAAACCAGAAAGGCGGCGTGCTAATTTTACGCCAACACGTTTTGAGAGAAAAACGTTTTTAAACAAAAGATTAATTCTTTAAGGTTCCGTTCAACATCTTAAATACAAGCAGATGTTGTAGTTATAAAGAAAACTTTGTCTAAACCTTATATGCTACCTTATAGTTTATACACAAATATTATAGTTTGGCAAAATTACTCGCTTTAATGAAAAACATCCGGAATAGCCTCGAGAAAGTGCTTAACCGTAAGCCTTTGGCATGAACGTAGTCTGGAAATTTTAAAACAATTCTTAGTGATTACACGAAGCTCAACCATGTCTCTGCCGGCTCTTGTTTAAGTTTTATAAACTTAATTTGTATATACAGAAAAAAGCGTCTTTATATATAACCTCAAGGCGTTTTAGTTTCAGTTGGGTATAAATATTCCTTATCGTTTGTACAGCATATTATACTGTTGAGAAAATTTGACAGCATGTGAATACTTTAAAAATTTTTAATAAAATTAGAATGATTTGACACTGGCAAAACTCAAACTGACATCTTTTGACTACAGATTTATTAACCATAGATAGTTAAGTAGCTATATAGATATGGTCAGTTGAACGGTGCCGAAATGCAATTTGTGGCTCGAGAGTTCTAACCAACAAACAGGTGCACAAAATAAACTTAGCAAGTGTTAACATTTTGTTAAACCTCAGGAAAAACAAACAAAAACGTAACCTTGGAATTGTAGCAATTCGAAACTGGTAATAAAAAATGCACAATTTTTGCATGAAACTTGAAACCTGGTTGAGGGAAACGACCAGTGCCGTCTAAATTCGCTCGAGATAAACCAAAATTTTAATTAAGCAAAGGTCATCACATGAGATATGTTCTCGTGCTGTTTAAGTGGAATTTTTTACACAAAGCCTGCTGACATATAAGTAGTATGAATCACCAGGAAACTATTTTTTTATTACATAATTGCAATGATTCCTGACATCTTATTTAGAGTATGACACTATAATCTACGTGCAGCTACACGATCGAACACTGGAATAATGCATGCCTAGTCAAAAGCTTACATATAAAGTGTTTATAATGCAATATTCTTATACATTTTTCATTTTTGCGCTGTTCAAACACGTAAATACGGTGTAAAGTTGTTATGATTAAGCTTTTCCTAGTTTGAGAGGCTACAAGAGTTTCTTACGATGATGACGCATGAGAACAGGGTGGAAGGCCATTTTGGTAAACACGAGGAGTTTCTTAAAACAAGGTTTCCCCCAGTCCCCGCACACAACCTCTTGGCGGCGCTGGAAGGGTTATATACTAAATGCTTTGCTATATACTTAAATATGGGCAATTTAGAGGTGAATTGGAAGGCCAAAAGATGCGATTAGATTTTCGAACAAGTTCGTAAACGTATATTATCGCGTAAAATTTGTGCAGACCTATATGGGCCAATATTCATGCATGAATGATTTAATAGACTTAATATGGTAAAATACACTACTTTATTTCAGCATGATACTTTCCGGCTTTTCCACAACAATGATCATTCCATTGAATTCACATTCCTCACAAGAGTGACAAAACAACAATTGACGGAGGATTTTTCACATTAACACATTCAAGGGAATGTTGATACAAATTTAACGGATAAAGATACGGCAGAAAATATAAACAAAAACATAGAAAGGTTACGAAATTTGGGCTATTTAACCTATGAACTGACTCATATTTGGTTAATTTAGGTAAATTCGATAATTGGTAACAGTTAGGGTGTGAAAAATGTTTCAATTTAGCTGCCTGAACATGCCGGGCAGGCAATCTCTATTATCTTTAAAGGAATGCTGGTAAAAAAATTGTAAAAATTAACTTCAAAACTTCTTAAACATGCAGTGGATATTTAATATACACACTGAATCATGCCAAGGGAGGGTTTTCTCAAACAGTTTTCTTAAACCCAAGTGATTTACTGGGTTAACTGATTAATACTTTTACTCGTTTGCATATAATGTTGGACAAAGAAAGACAATTGATCAATGCCCATCGATCTGCGCACTACCGCATGCACACATTGTTTCAGTAGCCATTATTGTCAGTCTTCGCTGATGTTTGAAGAACTTCTCAAAGACGTTGATGTGAACTTTCTACATATTGCAAAGCAAAAAAACCGTGCTTAAGCCTAACAAGCTTAGTGTGGGCGTAAATTACATGTACTTTTAAAGTGTTTAAGCTTTATGTGTTGATAATTTTGGACAAATATTCAAGTGGTTGAACTAAATCTGTAAATTGCTAATATTTGACTGGGAACAAATTTTCATCGCATATATTCACTTGGCTACACTTGCTCTCCTGAGAAATTGATGAGTTTCATAATTTAGATTATAGTAGGCAGCAATTTGACCTTGTCGTAATTGGCTTACAGCTTTGAATTGCGGGGTGTATATGTAAGTTGGCGCGAGATTAGTGCAATTATACAGCGATATGTTGACAAAATAATAACATTTTTGCCAGTCAGTAAAAGCTATTCATGTCGGCGTTTAATGGCTAGAGATTTACACTTATCAACCTGTACTTTGAAATGTGTTGTTTGTATTCTGTATTCTACCACAATTACTTAAGAATATTCTTTGCGGTTTCAGGTGCTTCTATCTACAGCTGTACTCAAGGATTAGTGAAAATCTTTCAAGGAAGGAAATCAAACATTGGCATAAGAGTTGTTCCCGACAGTGTCTGAGCGTGTCAGGAAGTCTCCTAGTTTAACACTGTTTTTCCACATGTCATCAAATCATTGCACAAGGAGCACTGGGTAACAGCATGTGCTTGGAACACCACCCGTTATAAATATACCACAATTTGTCCTATTCACTTCAGTCAAGGCTAAGCTGCTCTGTCGTCAAGATGGACAAGTTGTTCGCTGTTTGGTGCTTATACGAATATCAAAGTCCGCGATCGACGCCAACTGTACGAAGAAAGCAGCGAGTAATAACGCCGAAATTCAAAGTTCCACCGAAAGATGAAAATCAACGACAAGTTAAATTTCGACTTCTCACAAAAGATGACATCGAAATTGTGCGTGAAATCTACCAGCAAGGTCATCAAGGAAGAATTTTCCCTGCGTTTAAAATTGGCTTCGCTCGCTCGTTATCACTACTAACGATGCTAATACTGTTTGCACTGGTTTACCTCGCCACGAGATCACTCCTCGTTTCTGTCGCTTTCGAAATATTATACAATTGCACCGTGCTGGCATCATTTCATAAACTATTCAATGATCACATCTCCAACAGTCTGAGTAAAGATTTGGAGGACATGACAGAATATTATAAAACTCAAGAAACATGTACGAGATATAGTGACTTTGCTAAAAATGGTTCCAGCATCTGGGTAGCGGTGAAGGAAAACGTTGTCGTGGGTTTCGTTAGTTTCACCCACCTGAACGAAGAGACTATCGAGCTCAAACGTATGGGTGTAGCAGAAAAATTCAGGCGGAACGGCGTAGGAGTAAGTCTTTGTCAATTCGCGATCCAGTTTCTACAAGCAACGAACTATAAACGAATTCTCCTTGAGACGACCGAAGCCCACCAGCCTGCAATTCGTCTTTACAAAAAGTTCAAATTCCAGTTAATAAAAAGACAGCAACGCAGTTGTGGTTTAGCGTCCATACATATTGAACATTATGAACTTCCAATCAGTGTAGCAAATACACTAAACATTGCACCTTCACAGGCCATCAAACCCGACTGTTCCCATGCTATTCCGAAACATCTTATCAATTATATTCATTAAATTTAGAAATTAATATATTCGAATTTTGAAAAATAATATAATGTATATATAATATATTTCATGCAACATACTAGAATATCTATATGATAGAGATGGACGATACATTGTCATTATTATATCGAGATTCAATGAATAAGTAACAAAGACTATATCAAGTCGCATTAATAATTCTTAACGTCTTTTATAGATGACATAATATTGTTTTAGTTACGTCGCGTAACAAATACTATTTCGACCATAACATTGTTAATACAACATACTGATATAAATGGCCTACATTAGGTTAATATGGAATTTATATTTATTCTATATTCATGTTCTTTTTAAGAACTTGACTTTTTAACACCTATATATGTTAATAAATTTTTCTAACAAAATTGTGTGTGATTTATTTGAAGGGCAACCGTGCATTGTTTAGTAAATAAATAAGTTTCATATTGTCACGTCATATAATTTGCACCTGATGTTAATGAAACTTGTCCCTGATGCAAATCAAAAACCAAAATTCAAACGCGAAGTAGCTAGAAATGAAGTGATGTCTTTTGAGAGGAGCTAAGAGTTGGGCAAAGATTGTTCATTATAAAGATTAAGGAGTTAGTCTTCGTTAGTGAAAATGTTACGCCTACTTTTGTCTATAGCAACGCAGCATCAATATACAAACTCAGAATCGCAAAGCAGATCATTGTCATACATCATTAAATTAATATAAACCTTGTGGTTTTGTTTTAGAGTACTTGTTCGGCCAGTATGATAAAATACTTCGTCATACGTACAACGACATCAGTCAATATACAAATGTTGTAGAACACTTAGTTTTACATGTATGCATGGTTAAATAGCGAGTATTTGAATTACCAGGAAAAATCTCGAAGAAATTCTGTAGGAGCGTCTTTGTTTACGTTTTTTATCCTTGTGAAGTGACTTAACCCACGCAAGAAAATTAACTTAATTTGTTTCAAGACCATGGCCATAGACACTTGACTATCATTGCAACCTCGTCTGTTAAACTTGTATGCTCCACTATGCATTCACTTCACTGCACTCTAGAGCGGCGTCTTTGAGTCCAAATTCCAATATTATATTTGTCATTGAAGACTCTTACCATGCAGTTTTTTTTGAGAGAAATTAAAAATGAATGCGTCACTAATGATTTTCTCCTTTGTGTCTTTCCGATTGATATAGACCATGGTATGCTTCTTTGTCTATGGTACCATGCAGTCATATATATATATATATAAGAGACTCCTCCAAGATTTCGCGTGCAAGTAGTAAAATGGTCATCATCTTTTAGTTTTAAAATCAATTAATCTTATGTATTCTTCAAGATTACGTAATCTCAGCCATATCAACAAGTATTCGCATGAAACCAGACGAATTCCCGAGATCATAACGAATACTGAACTTTTGAAAATTCAGCTAGCATTGACAGAAATGTTTTGCGAATTTATTTAAGTTAGCGAACCTTTCAGCTTAGATATTATGCAGTGTCAGCATGGATAAAGTATCATGGCCAAAAGAAAGAGATCGTTTCTTGGTAATCTCCTAAAAATAGCTGTAAAAATAGCCAAAATCTCCTTGTTCGGAAGTCAATGAGTATATTGAACTACACTATAAGTTGTCTGTTTACAATAATCATGGCCAATAAACCAAATGCCCTCAAATGTTACAGCGGGAAGATTTCCGTTCCCGGTTGCAACATAAACACTAACTATACACTGATGTTTTTAATAAGAAGGTTCTGTAGTGTGGCTGGCTCATTAAATGAGGAGTATTTACCTCCAGACAAGAAGTTGAATACTGTTAATTTTATAATCCGGAACTTCGGTTTGGGTGAAAACATATTTTCTCCGCAGGTCACCAACTTTTCAATTCGTCTGAACTACCGTGAAAGAATTTTCATGGTGGTCGTTAAACAGCGCTGAACTTCACGAGCAAACCATGATGCCATTGTTTGCACACCATGATTCATTTACCGACATGATTCACGGCATTTTGCAACCCATTTATCAAGTTCTGCGCGCTCTCGATAGGCTGCAATAAGATATCATTTATATCCAGAACTTATAAATCATCAAGATCGCACCATGCAGGCGCAAGCATATAGCCCAGTTCCCTCGTGCTTTCGCGTGCCTTGCAGGTTTTGAGATTTACATTAGAAAAAGAATGAATTTGTCACACATTTGTAAATGTACAGTACATGCTTTATTTTTACACTCATCATTTTGCCTTATATCTCAAAACGGCGGCAAATCTGAGGCTGAGCCTGTTATGACATTCTGGAATCTGGACGATTTCTTAATGAACTAAGTTGTTTGGTATCCATAGCTTCACAAATTAAGGTAATGTTACATGAAACAACTTTCAACATCAACTCGCAACGCAACAATGTTTTGAAAAAGGTTTACGCGTTGAATGTGATATGTATGAGCTAGTTTGTAACACAGAAATTGTTTTGGAAACAAGTTGAAAGTTTATGAACTGTTTTTATCCCACACACAACATTGTTTAGATTTTTGCTTATTGTCGCGTTGCGAGTTGATGTTGAAAGTTGTTTCGTGTAACATTACCTTTACTTCGGTTTGCTAAATCGTGTTTGATTTTCAAGGGCTTCGTGTTTGAAGACGATTAAGTTCACTATGTTTGCCTCGCCAGAATTAACAAAAAAAAACCTTCAAGAAATCACGCTTAATTGTCCTCTCGACCTAGAAACAATTTTAAAAATTTTCGTCTGTCAGTGATATTGTTACTAGTTCCAAAATCTTCGCACGTAGCTTGTTTGAGTTTAAAAAATACCATTCAGCCTGCGGAGAAGACGGATGACATAATCATGTTAATTGGCTTACTGGATTCTCTTCATCGCAAAACAACGAATACGCACAATGTCTCGATAGGCACAGTTTTTCTCGACATGCTTCCATTACGCTGTCTTCCATTTCTTGTTTTTGCTGAAAGTTTCTAAACAGACGATGTTTATTGACACGAATGGACACGTATACATGAATTGAAGGTCAAAAACGGCGGAAGCTGGACTCTTAATTGCGCGAGAAAACAACAGAAGAACTGCTGCATAATAATGTAAGCAGTTTACTGTGTTCGTCAGTCGTCACAGCATGCATGACTGCATTGTTAAGTAAGGACTAAAGATCTTTAGTCTGACATGCTGCATGCATGAAGAAAAGGCACCACGCAGATTAGATGAGTTATATCAAATTATCCATTTTGAATAGGAAAACTCCACGTTATTATACTGTGCTATTCAGTTGTGGTTATACTCACATCTGTCTCTAAGATTTACGTCACTTAACAGCATGCTTGTTTTTCAACGAATCCAAGATGCTCTGCAAACTCACTACTGAAATATCCACCATGCAACGTTCATATACAGTGTGTATCAGATACTAATTCTGGCGGTGGGAATTATGCTTCACTTAAATAAGGGCCTAGCATAACTGAAGAATAAGAACGTTAATTCTACCATTTCTTTCTCTGACTCTTCTACTGTAAATGTGGTTGTACGTGAACAGTTGGACCAGACATAAATCGCTGTTTCCAAAAGAATTAACTGATTATCTCCAGTTTACTACTTCCAAGTAGTTCAATTATTTTTGACAAAGTAGTTCAATATATTTGACCATGGTCGAGTACAGTACCGAAAAATGGTATATTCGACGATGGTCGAGAATACCGGAAAGTATCGAATATATCTGAATATGGTATATTCGACCATGGTCGAGTCTTCCGGAAAATGTCGTATTCGACCATGGTCGAGTCTTCCGGAAAATGGCGTATTCGACCACAAATTCCACAGTCCGCCGGAAAATGGCGTATTCGAGCATGGTCGAGTCCGGCGGAAAATGGCGTATTCGACCATGGTCGAGTTCGCTGGAAAATAGCAAATACGACCATGGTCGAGTTCGCCGGAAAATGGCAAATACGACCATGGCAGAGTTCGCCGGAAAATGGCAAATACGACCATGGTGGAGTTCGCCGGAAAATGGCAAATACGACCATGGTCGAGTTCGCCGGAAAATGGCAAATACGACCATGGTCGAGTTCGCCGGAAAATGGCAAATACGACCATGGTCATATTCGCCGGAAAATGGCAAATAAGACCATGGTCATATATTCGCCGGAAAATGGCAAATACGACCATGGTCGAGTTCGCCGGAAAATGGCAAATACGACCATGGTGATCATATTCGCCGGAAAATGGCAAATATACGACCATGGTCATATATTCGCCGGAAAATGGCAAATATACGACCATGGTCATATTCGCCGGAAAATAGCAAATACGACCATGGTCGAGTCTGCCGGAAAATGGTGTATTCGACCATGGTCGGGTCGCCCTACGCATTTTTCTACGCAACCTCGTATCCAGGGTAATCTCGCCCTACGTTCCCCTACAAAATACCTGTTTTCCGGTATCCCGTACCCCTTACAAGAAGCAATAAAACCCCCTACGCGTATTAGCCACTGAGGTAGCAGCCTGGATTATTTTTCAATAACGATTGACCAGACTGAGTCTTGGGCCCGCTGTGGCGTATGCTACGCATGCGTAAAGGACTTCATCCGGGTATTTCAAACGTTCTTGATTCTTTGCTATTATTAATTTTTTCCAATCATGGCGACGTCTTTTGCGAGACCAGCGCTTACTCGTGAAGGTTTTTATCATGTTTTTGTCACTTATTCTTTTTCCAATCTAATTGTAAAACGTAAATTGTAAACTATTTTATTTCTCAATAGAGATCGAGAGACAAGCTCAAGATATTGTGGATAAAAAGGCTGGGAAAGTACCAACGGACGACACTGACTTGGTAAGAACGTGGAACGTTGATTACGTTAGATTACTTTCAATAACATTTTATATTTTGGTCACAAAAGCTGAAAGAGTTATTCATTAAACAGCAGCATTTAAAATCATAATGGTTATTTCTCCATTGAGTATTTTTCACCTGTAAAATGGAAGAAGGCATGTGCATAATTTGATGGTGTACTCTGGAAGACTTTTCAACTGGAAATGTATATTTAGTTTTTAGACAAAATGAACAACAATTTTAAAATATCTGGATAATCTATCTTCATGAAAGTAGAAATAAGCATATAATTTTACTCTCACAAAGTCTCTAAGGTGTGATGTTGAGAAATCTTTGTATTTCCTGATGCCTCCACAATGAAAGTTAATGACCACCTATGCCTGTCTGAAAATGTGTAATGCATAATTGTGCAATCAATTCTTTCCATATTGACCCCTATGCCAATGGGTTGTATACTTCGATGGCTTTTTTCAAAACACGCTACTTTGTCAGGAGAGTAAGTCTGACTAATGCTCCTGATCATTCTCATTCAACTCTTTTGATGAAGGCCAAAGAAGTTTTATGTAGTTTTTTACCACACTTCATGCAGAAACTAGCTGCAAAAACATGCATTTAGCCTCTATTGACTTCATAGTACGTAAACAACACTATTTATATTTATCCTGTGTCAAAAAATTACCTAAATGCATACTTTTACAATTATGTATTCAAAATGCTACATACAGGTATCCACTTTGGGACCTGATAAATATAATCTATCTTTTTTTGCAGGTTGGTCTAACATCTCAAGGTTATTTTGATACAGATATTTATGGTTCAAGTAAAAGCAAGTGAGTATGAAATTTAATGGCCTGGTCTGTCTGGCAACCAGGGCTCAAATTCCTTACCTATTACCTACTACTCTAATTATAGAGATTAAACAATGTGTTCTTCATAAATGTAGGTTTGAAGGTTATGAAGTATCGATTCCAACCAATGAAGCAGAGGAGGTAAAATCTTCAAACTTACGTGAAGTTGTTTGTTCTGTTAAATGAATATGATTATTGAGATTTGTAGTTGGCTCACCATATTATGGATTTTTTATTTGACAGGATGAAGATGATTATTCTGCCCTTAGCCAGACGAAAAGAGCCACATACACAGCTCCTGTTTCTTTACTTAACGATATTCCTCAAGGAGAACAGGTATGCACATTTTTTACAAAACATTTATCAATCAATTTAGCAACTAACTTATCAAATGTTTTCTTTAGTACAATGCATTTGCTGAACACAAACAACCAACAATTGCTGAAAAAGAAGATGAATACAGAGCCAGAAGAAGAAAGATGATAATTTCTCCAGAAAGAAATGATCCATTTGCTGATGGTAGGTGAAGATTGTGTAGGCTAAATATGAATGGTTGTATTCATTAGCAAGAAGGCAAATAGTTGGTGCAGGTTTTATCCATTTGTGTCCATATATTTGGAAAGTCAGTTTTAAAATATTTATGCGGACCAGCTTGTTTATTTTGCCATTGTTTGAATGGTGGTAAAATGAGACAGTCTGTTAAGCCCAGTCAAGCATCAGTGTTTAAACAGTGCTGAGAAATTTAAAAGTTCAATCAAAATCAAAGTGTTTGTTTAATGTTTTCTTCAATCCCATGGCTGACTAAGCCAAACTAACACAAATAGAGAGAAATGTGCTTGTCTAAAAAGGTTTCTTGCTTGTGTTTCTAACCATGGTTTAATACTTTATGTACATTCTATTTTGTTGTATCATTGACATATACATTACCAACATACAGACCAAGGGAGGAAGAAATATGGTTAAAATTTGGCAAGCACTTTACAAATCTATTGCAAAATCTATGCCAGATTATTCTATATTTTAATGTGAATGCATTTAAAATCTAGCTAGCTATTAAATACTTACCTGATCAAAACAGACAAAACATCACATGAACTCTACTGATAAATTTGTATAAATTTTTAAGCAAAGTACTCATTTACCAGACCTTTTTCTTCTATGTAGTGCTTATGGTAAGGTAGGTTGCTTTGCGATAAAGAAAGAACCTGGATCTTCCAACAACTTGGCAAACTATGTGATGAGAAAACTCTCTTTAAACAGCTCTTCAATGATTCCACAGCCTGCGAACAATAATTTTATAATGTCTTCTGTTAGGGGTTTCACACAAAGCCATTTTAATTATATTTAGAGATTTTACAGAGCTCAATCCTTTCTTCTAATCCATAGTTTGCATATTTCAAATCCAAAGCTTTTGTATACCATACTTGAAAACAAATGGTTTATTTTTAAAATCCATACCCAATTAGGATTTGTCAAATTATATTATTATCTATTGGTGGAAAAAGTTTTGTTTAAACATGCAATAGGCACATTGTTGCTGCAGCAGAATATATTGAAAATGCTGCAAAGTCTATGCACAAACATTTTGGTTTAAAGAATATGTTTAATAACTTATAAAAGAATGTGTAAATTGTTTGTTAGGAAGTTTGAAAATGTGTCTCGAGGGAGAAAAATTTGTTTGCAAACAAAATTTGCCAGAAAGGGAGATATTCCTTCCCCAGTTACTGGTAGACTGATATGTAAATGATAATTTATTAGAAATCTTCTCACTAGTTGATTAACATGGACGTGGAATGGCTGTGGAGCTCTTCAAGTCTCATCAAGTAACTCTGCTCTGCTGGGTTCGTGTTAGCAGCGAAATACCAATGTTGTCTCCATTTATGAATTAGCAATACTTGTGTTGAAATTACTCTTAGCAGGACATTGTAAAAACCTTTGTACTCAGAATCTAACAACTTCGAGTTTTGGGAAAAATGGAACTTAACGATATTAACATGAAGATACATGTTTACGTATGAATTTTTGGAAAGTTGTCGGAATCATAAGATTTTGGTGCAAATTTTACATTGTCCAAACCTCAATGATGTGTCCCCACTGCCCCCCCCCCTCGTCGCTGTTAAATATACTAATTTCTGGTGTCTTGTGTAGAGTGTGTTTTTATGGTAAGATGGTTTGTTACAATCAATGAACGACCAAGCCAGTTAGGATAAGCAATAAAAACAGGACACACGATGTCGGGCGATCTTATTTATTTCCATATCTTACAAAGAAATGTACTTTATTCTTACGAATTTGAAATGTCGGCGCAGCCAGCCACTTAAACCTGCAATGGTGTACATGTGTATCTCCGACATCATATCTTGTATTTTGTTGCTTATTCTCCCACTCTGCCAAGATATCCCTCGTTGTATTTACCTGCCACACTTCAAGTATTCTTGCGTGTCAAAATCTCAAGAAATTATTATAATTTAAAATGGTAGTAAGATAAGTTACGTACTTTCATTATTTTGATTTTACTAACAAGCAGAACTTATTCTGCTTTTTTTTCTCCGTAGCTATGAGTCTAAAGACACCAGACCCGTCTCAGAGGTTAGGAAGAAGCTATGCAGAGATCTTAATGGATCAACGATTAAGAAAAGAGGAGGTAAATTTTACTGTAGATGGTCCGTCTTAGGAGAGACGTCGCGCGAATGATTTTAAGATAAAATTCACCTGATTTTTTATCCTTTTTTATTAGGTTGAAACCAGGAAAGAAATTATGGAGAAGGCTAAATCTGGAGAACTTCAAGTTCAACCTCAACCAAAACCAGCTGCCGGTAAGTTGACCATTTCATTTTCTCGTTCGCACGTAATGAACTTTAGTTATCAGAGCACTGCGCTCTTTACACTCTTTTGTGATGCTTTTCAGTAGTTATCTCAATCTTGCAAACTTTGTTTTAGAGAAGAAAAGACGTCGTTGGGATCAACAAGGTGGTGATGATCCTCCAGCAACAAAGAAGAAAACTTGGGATCAGAGCGAGGTAATGTATTATGTAATACTATAGTTGGATCTATGAATCATTCTCGACACGACTGCTTCTCTCTTTTTTTTCAATGACTTCAGTAATTACGAATATCGTCGTCGTTTCTTTAGGTAGCGACACCGTCTGCCAGTCGGTGGGATGAAACTCCGGGTCGACCTAAGGGTGGTGAAACACCGGGTGGGGGCACACGATGGGATGAAACACCCGGGCGTGCCAAAGGAAGTGAGACACCAGGGGGGAGTACAACGCCACATAAAGGTTCCGAGACTCCGGGTGCTACACCTAGTGCACGAATGTGGGAAGCCACGCCAAGTCACGCCACTCCTGGCTCAGCAACACCTGGTAGTATGACTCCTGGACATTCAACACCAGGTATGAATAGGGGGCTGTTTACATGATTTCTTCTTAGCTGAGATTTAACGACGCGTGAAATGACTTTGAGGTATTGAAATGAATATATATATTAACATGATCCTGTCTGTAGTCAGTCATAACAGTAACATGTGCTTGTTTGGTTTCAAAAATACTTTATTTAATACCTCCAAATCATCTCAGGCTTCTTTGAATCTCGGCTGACACCGGGTTCGTGTAAACAGCCCTAAGATATGAAATATAACCTGACGTTATGGTGTAGTTGCAAAAGCAGAAATCCGTTAATTTACGTTGTATAATGTCAGAATGACGTGTACGGTGGAAATGCCAAGTGATGATAGCAAAGATAGTTTCTGAGTGAAGAAACAGTGACATATTAAACCAGGGTTGTTAACATCTGTAAATCTTGGTAATTCCTTTTGAGATAATAAGGTTTTGCTGTAATATCAGATGGAGAGTAAAACTCATCTTTAGTTTTAATTTTAACGACAGATCTTGAGATCTCTGTTGTGGACTGACGATGAGAAACACGTGTCTTTCGCCCGTCACAATGATACTGTTTATCTTTAGTAATCTGATGGCAACACCTTGCATACTACTGAGTTATGAATTTACAATTATTCTCAACACGATAGAGAGGTTGCTTTTACTTACGTTGCAAATTTTAATAGCTGCAGTTAGCTCTTGGAGCCGACACCTCAATTGAATTACTGTCTGGCCAACACCAAGGTTTCACTGTACGGAATTTTTATATGTGAATGGCAATATATTTTATCAGTCCTCTCCTCTTCTTCATTGTGAACAGGTTTATCAACACGTCGTAATAGATGGGATGAAACACCAAAGACAGACCGTGGTACTCCTGGGCATACAACACCTGGCCAATCTACACCAGGCTGGGCAGAGACACCAAGAACAGATCGCACCGGCGCACAAACACCAGGGGCAACACCTACTCCTGGGAGTAAAAGACGATCAAGATGGGACGAAACACCATCAACCCAGATGGGTGGGGGGACACCTATGATTGGTACTAGTGGAGTTACACCTGCAGGAACAAAAGCCATGCAAATGTCCACACCAACACCAGGTACTGTTCTTTAGACTTTACTAGAAAGATATACTTCTTGAACACAGTGAAAACCTGTTCTTATTTTAGGTCAAATGATTCCAATGACCCCTGACCAGAGGCAAGCATTCAGATGGGAAAGAGAGATTGATGAAAGGAACAGACCATTGACAGATGATGAATTAGACGCTATTATGCCTAAGGAAGGATACAAGGTATCAGGATGCTTCTTCACTACATGTATGCGTAGACACGCTTACCCGATCGCTTTTGTCGGATGTGATTCTGTCGCGTTTGACTTTGCTTAGAGTTGATTAGTGTTCTGTTATCAGTGTGTTATTTATTCTCTATGAATTAGTTATTCCATACTATATAAGAGTTTTGAATGGGTTACGGTACTTGGAGGGTTTTCTAAATATTTTGTATGTTTTCAAACTAAATATATTTCATTCATCAGGTATTGGATCCACCGCCTGGATATCAACCTCTCCGTACTCCGTCACGTAAACTAACTGCGACGCCCACGCCGATGGGTTTCAGCGGTTTTACTATGCAAGTATGAATCTTAAAATATTTTTATTAGGATATTAACAACATTATTGTATATATACCTAACTCTTGTTTGTTTGATTGTTTGTTTGTTATTGTAGACGGAGGACAGAAATGCCAAACTTGTGGAAGATCAACCTCCTGGAAATCTTCCTTATCTTAAACCAGACGACGTTCAGTATTTTGACAAACTTTTGGTAAGCCTGTTTTTCACTTACTGTATGTCCCATTCACGATTCGTATACGGGAAAATGATCTCGGAATAAAAATAACGTTGAAATTTCAGGTGCAATTTATAATTCTAGATAATCTAACATTGTGGGAACATGTGGTGTGTTGTAGGTTGATGTTGACGAAAGTACGTTGAGTGCTGAAGAACAGAAGGAAAGAAAGATCATGAAATTGCTACTGAAAATTAAGAATGGGACGCCTCCTATGAGGAAGGTAAGCGTAAAGTCACAAACACAAGTTTAAGGGGAAAATTAATACCATGTAAAAACCGTAACCGAAAAGGTGGCTCGAATTGTACCATTAATATCTTCCTTTCTTGTAATGTGTTTAGGCTGCTTTAAGACAAGTGACTGACAAAGCTCGTGAATTTGGGGCTGGTCCATTGTTTAATCAGATTCTACCTTTGTTGATGTCACCAACTTTAGAAGATCAGGTAAAGATATAGTTTTAAGATTTGGACTCGTTGTTGGGGGGGGGGGATCAGTTGTCAATACAAAGGTCTATGAGTAGAGTAACGAGAATTACTGCGAAGGGAAATTACAGTCGAGTAATGTTAGAATTAAGAGGTTGTCGAGAGTTCGTACAACCCGTCTCAGACTCACTTTTTCTTTGAGAAGATCATGTCGGTTTATTAACCTTCTGGTTGAATGAAATATTTGTGTAACAATTCCAGGAACGTCATTTATTGGTTAAAGTTATTGATCGCATTCTTTATAAACTGGATGACTTGGTTCGACCTTTTGTACACAAGGTAGAGAACTACGATTTTTTATTTTCTGACCCTTATTGTCTGCTATATCTAAAGAATTTCATGGAAATAAACGATTATTTTCTTGGTATTTATTTTAAGATTCTCGTCGTAATCGAACCTTTACTTATTGATGAAGATTACTACGCCCGAGTGGAAGGGCGGGAAATCATTTCAAACTTGGCGAAGGTAAGCGGGTATTGCCGTATTTTAAAACAAATCAAATTAAACTCCAAGATTCTATTCCACGATAATATTCGATAATCATATCAGTGATACGTGTACTGTGTCATTCATTGCTATAAGTATTTTCAAGATATCCTTTTACGATTTTTTAGGCAGCAGGTTTGGCGACTATGATTTCAACAATGAGACCTGATATTGATAACATTGATGAATACGTTCGTAATACAACAGCCAGGTATGTTTACGTGAATTCTGAAGCATCGTGTTAAACCTCCTTGTGCATTTTATCTGCAACTGAAATGGTGTACCAACATTGCACCAAGGCTCATAATTCCTGTAGGAGAAAGCCGATCATGTTGCAACGTATGTTTTCGATTTTAGAGCTTTCGCCGTGGTAGCTTCAGCCTTGGGCATTCCGTCTTTACTGCCATTCCTTAAGGCCGTCTGTCGTAGCAAGAAATCATGGCAGGCACGTCATACTGGTATTAAGATCGTTCAGCAAATTGCTATATTGATGGGTTGTGCCATACTTCCTCATCTACGTAGTCTTGTTGAGATTATCGAACATGGTAAGTGCGGTGTTTGACACGTGCGTTCAAAACTCTGGTCCACAGGGTGTCAACGTAGTTATGCGGATGCTAAATGCAGTAAATACTTCTGCCTGCATAGTTTTCTTGCAATGTTTTAAAAGCTAATGAATTCAACAATATTTTCGTTGTTAGGACTCGTCGATGAACAACAGAAAGTGCGAACAATTACAGCTCTTGCTTTGGCCGCTTTGGCTGAAGCAGCAACACCATACGGTATCGAGTCATTTGACAGCGTCCTCAAACCTTTATGGAAAGGTATTAGACAGCACAGAGGAAAGGTAAGCTCAGCCTTAATTCTCTAGTTTGTGCTTTGATGTTTATCATTCATATCATGTCTCTATTCATGCATCATCTATTTCCGTGCAGTTCCTCTGACACCTGTTCACTCTCTCCCAGGGTTTGGCTGCTTTCCTTAAGGCCATTGGTTATCTTATACCGCTGATGGACGCAGAATATGCAAACTACTATACCAGAGAAGTAATGTTGATTTTGATTCGAGAGTTCCAGTCTCCTGATGAAGAAATGAAGAAAATTGTATTGAAGGTAAAATACTTGTTTCGAAAAATTACATACCGGGTTTTATAGGAACTCTAACCAATGTATACACCTGCTTTAAAAATGTCAAATGTTATACCATATGATTGTCTTTGTAATTAGGTAGTGAAGCAATGTTGTGCAACGGATGGTGTTGAACCACAGTACATCAAGGACGAAATTTTACCGGAATTCTTCAAACATTTCTGGCAACATCGTATGGCTTTAGATCGACGGAATTACAAACAATTGGTGGACACAACGGTAGAGCTGGCAAACAAAGTTGGTGCTTCAGATATTATTGGCAGAGTTGTTGATGATTTGAAGGATGAAAATGAACAATACAGAAAAATGGTCATGGAGACCATCGAAAAGGTATTTATTATAATTTTGTGAAACACTTTATGTTATAAAATCCTCAGGATATCAGTTGTATTTATGTCAATGTGTTAAATATGCAGAAGAATGATTGCAAACCTAAGCAATGTCTACTAAGAAAACGAGGCTGATTTTTCTTTGCATTTCTAGATCATGGGTAATCTCGGTGCATCAGATATTGATTCTCGTCTGGAAGAACAGTTGATTGATGGTATTCTGTACGCGTTTCAAGAACAGACTCAGGAGGATATTGTCATGTTGAACGGATTTGGAACTGTTGTAAACGCTTTGGGTAAACGTGTCAAAGCTTATCTTCCCCAGATTTGTGGTACAGTGTTATGGCGTCTGAATAACAAGTCCGCAAAAGTTCGTCAACAAGCCGCGGATCTCATATCACGTATTGCACAAGTCATGATGACGTGTGGTGAGGTAAGATCATCTTTGGTATATTAAAAAGAATAATTTTTTGCCGTAAATTGTAATGCGTTGCTATTTTACGATGGCGTCTTTTTTTATGAAAGAATTGTAATTGGTCGAATTGAACCTGTTTCCCAATTACTTACATAAAATCATTTAAAATTTCGTGTTTACAGGAGAAATTATTGGGCCATTTGGGTGTTGTATTATACGAGTACCTTGGTGAGGAGTATCCTGAAGTCTTAGGAAGCATACTTGGCGCTATCAAGGTTGGTTGAATAATCTTGACCATATCTTTCGACTTATTCTGTTCTATCCCTGTTAGTAATTGAAAAGTTATTAGATAATATCTGTATGTTATAATATAGGCGATTGTGAACGTTATTGGCATGAATAAGATGCAACCACCAATCAAGGATTTATTGCCAAGATTAACTCCTATATTGAAAAACAGGTACATCTCCATTTTTTTCAACATATACAGTATACAAAACATTTTGAATAAATTGTCATGTCCTTACAGTGTTTGTGGGCTGCAATATTTAAATCACTTTAGTTGTTCGATTAAATTCTAACAAAAACGTACCAAATTCCTGAATGCGCTTATATTTATGTAGACATGAAAAAGTTCAAGAGAATTGCATCGATTTGGTTGGTCGTATTGCTGATCGAGGAGCAGAACACGTCAGTGCAAGAGAATGGATGAGGATCTGTTTTGAGCTGCTGGAATTATTGAAAGCGCATAAAAAGGCAATTCGTCGAGCTGCTGTGAACACGTTTGGATACATTGCCAAGGCTATTGGGTAATTTTGATATATTTTAATCAGGCAAAATGGAACTATTAATTGTTGAATTGAGGGTTGTTTATACGATCCAATTCACCTGTACTATAAAAGTCGTTAACCGACACTGTATGGTGAATTGCCGCATGATTACCTTGACGATACTCCTCCTGAGTTTCAGTGCAGCAAACAAAATATTTATTCTTTACTACGAAAATAATTACAAAACCATCTGTTTTACTGATTTATATAACGCTCTATTTTAGACCTCAAGATGTATTGGCCACATTATTAAATAACCTGAAAGTGCAAGAACGTCAAAATCGTGTTTGTACCACAGTTGCCATTGCTATTGTTGCTGAAACATGTTCACCGTTCACTGTGTTACCTGCGTTGATGAATGAATACAGAGTGCCTGAATTGAATGTTCAAAATGGTGTCCTTAAATCATTGTCGTTCCTGTTTGAATACATTGGTGAGATGGGGAAAGATTATATCTATGCTGTTACGCCACTTTTGGAAGATGCGTTAATGGATAGGTATGTTTAGTTATGCCTTTTTTGCATATCCCTTTCCTTTCACTGTTCATATCGCAGTAATTTTAATGGTGATGCGTATTTTAATTAAACAGAGACTTGGTACACAGACAAACAGCCTGTTCAGCAATCAAACATATGTCATTGGGAGTTTTTGGGTTTGGTTGTGAAGATGCGCTTGCTCACTTGCTAAATTATGTTTGGCCAAATATCTTTGAAACATCGCCTCATGTTATAAACGCTGTGACTGAAGCAATTGAAGGAATGAGGGTGGCACTAGGTGCCCCGAAAGTACTGCAATATACACTGCAGGTGAGCTCTCCTGTCTATTATTACATTAAAAATATTGAAGTATTGCCTCAGGCGAACATACGGAATGTACAATTTTGCTAACAATATTTTCGTGTCAATTAAGGGTCTTTTTCATCCCGCTCGTAAAGTTCGTGATGTCTACTGGAAGATCTACAACACACTCTATATTGGTGCCCAGGTAACGCATATATGTACAGTATAAGCCTGTCACATACGAGGACAGGTGTTCACCACAGCAGGTTTTTTAGTGTGCATGATAGTTCTTAGTCGTCTTCTTAGCTAAGAATTCTTATGTTTGCCACGCCAGGTTTTTGTGCAAATTTCCAGACGTCAGAGCTATACGAAATACATCAAGTTATAATTCAGAAAATCCTGTTACAATAGGCTTAAATCTTTAATCAATGCTTGATAGTTTGACTACGGGTGATGTTAATTATTCATTTCAGTACCTCAAAGTCATTTCACGCTAAGCCTTAATTCAAACATGTTGTGTTTTGCAGGATTCTCTTGTTGCTGGTTACCCTACTGTCGCTGATGACGACAAACATACGTTCGCAAGAGGAGAATTAATGTACTTCTTATAGATGCATCAAAGAAACAATGTAAAAAGTAAATGATATTGCCAAGATCAAAGTTGCATGTAATCCATGAAAGGGAGCAATTTTTAATAAACTAAGATTTTAAAACCCGATGTTCTTGCAGTGTTCACATGTAGAGTAGTCTAAAATTTCTTGTGTTCATTTATAAGAATTTAAGTGGACAAGTGCACTACATACATGACACTGTGTGAAAATATTGGTAATATTGAAATGTAGGTTTGTTCCTAGCATGTTGTTGCTCAAGATAACTATATTTTAACGTCTTAACGTGCAATGGATGCTCCCTTTGACGTGGACGTAACTTCAGTATCATTTTATACAAATTTTTCCTATTTCGCGATGTGCTTATACTGCAGGTTATAATCCAGACAGGTGTTTCCGTGTAATATTTGCATAGTATATCCGTATGTTCTTGAAAGTTGTATCCATAGTTTTGATCCATAGAATGAAAAATTCGCTTTTAATTCCTACTGTTGTATATCTTTTTACTTTCTGCTGGCTGCCTCAGGATACAGTAATAAAATTAACAAACAAAGTCTATTTCTAACACAGTACAAGCATGATTTTAAAAGCCCACTTTCCCCCCCCCCTTTTTCCATAACATCCAGTTGTAATGTAGATCAGTGACTGAGAAAGATCGCTGTTACCAAGCAACTAAAAACATCGCGTTTCCAGGGAATTGTTGCTTGGTAACTTTATTTGGCTGTGTTATCAGGAGGTCATCTGGTGTTTCTATATAAAGGAAGACGCTTTGAACGTTGACCAGTTTACACGTTTATACAGCAACAACAAGTTACGAATTGATTTTTATGTCTGAAGAAGTTCTATAGTACATTTTTATCCAACAATGTCTACCGCGTTAGCAATGGGATATTATGGAGCAAGAAATCATCAACAAGAAGAAAGCATTTACAATCTTATTCCAACAATCCCACCGACCGAAGCAAAGCCACCAAGGTTTGAATTTTCATCATTGTCGAATAGGTTTTGCGCTTATTGAAATAACTCGTTATTTTTCGTTTCTCTTTTAACGATGCCCACAAAACACGTTTAAACGTATTGTGCTTGGCCTGTTTTGATATACTTTAAAGCTTTAAATCGAAAAAAGCTTTGTCAGTCCTATAGCTTCCCTATTCAGTCTATTCGTGTTTTAATATTTGTCTCTACTTCAATAGGTACAAGTCAAAGTTTGCTCAAACTGTCCGCTATGATATAAAGAATAACAAAACTAATGCAAAGACTATGGTATGTGACACTTCACACTTGCTAGACTGTGGGCCTTGAATGATCGAATCCTCATCGATCAATAAAGTAACAATGATACATTTTATTCATTTTAACATGCATTTTTTTTTTTTTTCTTGCAGGGTCCAGCCAAGGTTCAACTTTCAAAACCTAAAGAATTTCTGGAAAAGCATTCCAAGGATAAAATTATACCAGAAGGTAATGAAAGTGCATTAGATGAAAATGGTTTATTTTTCATTAGTTACATTTATTGCAAGACATTTTTCCTCAACTTGAAACATTTTTTTACAGGAAACATTTCATACAGGAAATCTTTAATTTTTTATAATTCTTATTTCAGGAAAATCTCAATTCCGATATCCTGATGCAGACAGCAGAAAACCAGCAGTGCCAAAACATACGGAAAAACCATCAATCATGGCGGTTAAATCAAACAAGAATTTTGTAACTACAAATGCTGTTGAGAATATCATGTCTATACCTAAAAAGCCAGAAAAGAAATACGCTGATACAAAGATGGGAGCAACACATCAGCTGGAACCCTCAGGACTGACTCCAAAATACAGAAACAAGAAAGATTTTGGCAAGACACCAGAGTATCTAGAAAAAAGGAAAAAAGAAATCGAACAAGCCCAGATTGAATATGACACATATATTAGAGAGAGATTTAGACAAGGAGCTATGAAACAATTATCTGAAAATGAAAGGTGGGTTAAATTTTTTAATTTAGATGCTTGGTAGTCAATAGAATATTGTACTCTGGTACAATCTAGGCTTGTCACAGTCAACCATTTGATATCACTCATTTTATATTGATTATATTTTTAGGGAATCTATAATTGATGGATTGAAAACAAACTGGGAAGAGCTACATCATCAATACCAAGGACTATCGGTTGTCACAGATACAGCACCAAAGAAAGCAAGAAAAGAAAGTCTTGAAGCTCAAATGAAACAATTGGAAAGAGATATTGAGACGATGGAGAAACATAAAGTCATATATATTGCATCTTAACTGGATAAAAACAAAGCAAACAAATATGGATATTATTTTAGTAATAGATTGTCATTCACTTTGAATACAAAAAATTGTATATATATAAATAAATTCTATTTTCCAAAAGTGCTAAATTATTGTCTTCATTGTCTCCGTTCAGAGATTTGTATATTACCCCCTTATCTTCAATCGTTGGTAACAGAAATGAAGTGATTCAGAGATAAGATTATTCTAGTTTTTCATCATCACTATTGATGTAATTGATAAATGGTTGACGACAGAATTTGAGAACAATAAACATGGTGACGGAGATGAATAAAACTAATTTCCAAGCGCTCATTGGAACTCCAGCATACAACTGTTCTACAACTGAAATAAAAATTAATTTAGAGTAGCCTATTAGTGGAAGAGATAAAAAAATTGCATGCAACCAAATCAGTGAACTGTTTTATTCTGCCTATAACCTTCAGATGATTCTGAGTTCATTTACATAAACTATATGTACACTTACCTACATCATATGTGACTGTGAGGTCTTTCAGGTCTGAGTTATTGGGAACACGGCCAGTATGAATAGCTGTTACTTCAACATGCCTATCCTGCAAATAGATTGTGCAGTAATAATGCATTAATTACTGCATAGTTTGTGTTAGATGAATAAGATGATCAAGGTATTAAATAAATTTTGCATAAATCCCGTATTAAATATTGCAACTGTGCATGAAAACATAAAATGTCATCTGAAAAATAGAGAATAAAATACTTTTAGGTGTATTATAGTTACCTCTCGCATATCTGTCCAGAAGACAAACTTTTCTATGCTTAATAATTTTCTTCCAGTTGCTGCGGTAATGTTAAGGTCTTTTATAACAAAGTCAGTGGGTGTCTAAGAAAGTATTTTGGATTTTTCGTATATTTCAAGCAATTTCTTATAACCTCCATGCTTAAAAGTGTCAGTGTCATCTGCATTCATTGTGTATAAATTAAGAAATTAAATTCTCTATGAATATTCTGGTTGATATGTATATCTATGCTCCACATTTTAACTTATCCACTTTATAACCACGTAATCAAATCATTAGTAAGGAACAATAACATATGATGAAACTAAAATTACATTATTATTACCACTGCAGGGTAAGATATACGAAACTCATATCCTGTATTTCTTTGCAGCTTAGTTAAATGATAGAGAGCACTTTCACCACTGGTCAGTTTCTATCAATATATGAATGCATGTACCAAATTAAAAAAACAGAATAGTGATAATTGGCAATCGGTTATATTTGGTGATAAAATTTGGCTTGAAATTATTGTGAGAAGAGAATTCTGCTTAATAACTTTGCCTTCATCCCATTTTTTTTAGCAATACTCACATCACCTTTGGCAAATCATTGTTAATTAATTAGACTTACCAGGTTACAATAAAGTTGATTGGGTTGGATGCTACAATGAGATCATAATTATAACAAAGTCATTAATAGAGAATATGGTGTTTTTAGTTTTAGATAATTAAGTTATGATGGAGAGTGTAATATTAAGATGAACCTTAGGCCTTCAATTTTAGATGAGATATAGGATAACAAGGACTGTTTTTTGAAATATATAAGCAAGACTTTGGTTGCTTGTATATTGAAGAGGTGTTTCAAGGGCAGAACACAGTACATTCTTCCAACAGAGCTTTTGCAACTTGCAGAATGTTGTCAGCCATTTGTTTTCCCTATTATTGCAACAAATTCATACTCCACCCATATCATACGACAATTCATTTATAATTTCACCTTATCTCATACATACGCGATTGTTGCACTGTGTTTAGTAGGAGTTACAATGGTTATCCAGACAAATAAAACAATTATATCACAAAACAAAAACAACATATTTTAATTTCTTTCATTTATTTCCATGAACATTCCCGGGAAATCCTCGCTTCAAACGCCTCATACCCAGGAGATGCTGTCGCGCGTCATGGTGAGTGAATGAAAAGAACTTTGTATATTTACTAGAGTTTAACAAATAAAGTGCACCGAATATTTGGTGTGATTTTGGTTTACGGAATCTTTAAATGAAAGTAACTGATTTACATTGTATAATTGAAGACAGCGACGAAATCGTAAAAATACAAATGTGAACAATGTGAGGTACTGGGTATACCAACTATGGATGTCGAGTTCTGAGTGTTCTGACCATTTTAATAGTGATGTTTGAGTCGTTTTGGATTGTAAATGAATGCTTAATGAACGTTTATCACTTGGTATTGTTTAAATTCAAAGCTACAGTCTGAAATGGCATCCAATTGACGCGTCTGTTATTGTAATGGTCGACTATTAACGACACACTATCATGAAACTTTTAATAATATGTGAGTGTTATTACCAAAGATTTGTCTAGTTCTGGTCGAGCTAGCATTCACTATTGCAGTCGGAGCAATTCATAATACCTCTTCGGACAAGAAAGGACAACGTATGAACGAGCATTGTTTACACAACAAGTTTACACATTGTTTACAAGTATTAAATTATATTTCTGACAAGTTTGCTTTGAAGTAACAATGGCTTTGCAATTGTGGTAAACACTGCGAAAATACACCAAATACTACAATTTCAAGAGAGAATATCATGGCGAGTACTAATAGGGTAAGCCAATATGTCTGTTTATTTTTGTTTTGTATTCGCTCATAATAAACTTACATCACATGCTTTCATTGTGCACAGCATGAGTTTATTACATGTTCTTACACAATGAAAAAAAACAACATCCGACTTCATTTAATCCAACAGAATCTGCATATAGAGTGTTCGTTCCTCAATTATATTTCATTTATATGCTTTCAGATCTGTCCAATTCATAATTCTACTATATTTAGTTTTTCCTCACTGAACTCAATACTATAGGCATGCACTGCTCTTCAAATGAAGTCTAATGTATCAAATAGTTTCAATAAATGGACTGTGAATGCATTTTAATGATCATGCATAATCAAGTTAAAGGACCCTAAGGCTGTTAAAAGCACTCATTAGCCAAATATATCTTGGGACACATTAGTAAAAAAAGAATGTTAATGTGAGGAAGGTGAATATTTTTGAGTAATCGTGGATGTTGGATATTATTTTGTGATAACTTGGTATGAATCTCCTGTTGAGTATGGAATGTCAAAATGGTTTCATCATATTGATTTTGGTAGGCTCATTCCTCCTTTAACCAATCATATGCTCTAAAATGTGAACAGTAGGTTAAGTTACTTGACAACATGTTGACCATACTTTAGCCTGATTTTTGCTTGAAATCTTTGTTTTTCTGGATTGAATTATGAAGATTTCATCTTATACATTTTGATGATCAATGGCATCTAGTTGGTCTTTTGAAAACCAATTGTTGAAAGTAATTTGGCAAAGTATGGATTGGGTAAGGAATGCTATTAGCCTTTGATGCAATAAAATAATGCATGTACAAAGGCACATTCAGTCTTATCTACCAATCTTATGGAGTTATGCTCACAGTTATTTCAGGACTTGACCACTTGGAAATGATGTTATACAGAATGTGTTCTTAGCTTTTAAAATGATCTTCTTAGTGGATATAGCACTGCACCTAGTGAGCAGTATTTAGACATAATCCAAATATAAACATATTGTAATTTCTGGCTGGTAAGGGACATAAAATTCATGCCGTTATTTCAATTCCATTTTGTTGTCATTGTCGAAAATAACTATTGAAGTTGTGCTTGGGTTCTTATTCTTCTTGGGTTCAAGAGAGATGTTTACAATCATTGAGATGACAAGGAATATCTATGTAAAAGTCATAAAACATGTTATAACCTAGATGCCATAGGACAATCCCTGAGTCACACGACCTGTGGAAGTTTGGTTTCGTAGCCTCACAGACATAACCTACAACAGATGCTCAATGGTTTCATTACAATTGGTTATGAACTTACAATAAATAAGTAATAAAAATGTATAATTGCTATCTTGGATTATTAGAGCAATCAAACAGAACAACCTTTAGATATGTGAGAGAAATTAATCTAAACAAACCTAATTAATAACATACCGTTTTGCTAAATTTATGATAGCTTGCTATTCAGACACTTTGCAATTCAAGAGTTAATTGCGAAACGGTAAAGCATATTGGAAAGCAAAGACTAAAGTCTACGGTTTTGAGTTTGTATTCTGATTAGCAACATTCATTCGTTACATTTTTTTTAAACTTATTCAGTGCTTCAATGAGAAATTTCTGCCAAAAGTTCCAAGTAGTGACAAGCTTATGCAGTTAGTGGTCATTCTTTATGCAATTATGGTATTAGGTTCATTTTACCATGTCATGCAATTCGACATGTAACTGTGTTTTTGTGCAATACTTTTGCCTCAACTTCCTAAAATCAGATTAAACACAATTTGGGTTTTTTGGCGTTTAAAACTGCTCCATCTTCCAAGAGGCGCTTTGTTCATGGTTGTATTGACCTTATGAGGAAGTCTGAGGTGTCAATTGTAATTAATCTTTTCATGCAACAGTTTAGAGCAATGTAACCTTTTCGTTGATGTTTTTGTTCATGAACGTTTACCCGTAAATATTGTGTTGATGGAATGTTCGCTTCTCTGTTCGGACTTCGGGTATGAACCATATCGCATATCAAGCTTTTTGTGCATGACGACTGGCGCGTGGATTTGTCAGTCATTCTTTATTTTTCATAATATTGCTGTAGCATTACCATAGTGAAAGGTGTGCCTTTAGCGGGGTAGTCAAGCCATAACTGAAAAGAAAAGTGAAATAAGTTTTGAATCTAATTTGGTATGCATATTTGGGAGGTTGAACGAAATGAAATAAGGTGACAACATTTAGGTCTGGAATTTATATTATGCGGTGTCAAATATCAGTTATATAGTCTGGACTAAGAGATCAGTCCTTTTTCGTTTCCCAGAGATTGCTAAATGGTACCTTAACCTGGCTGTAAGAACCTCTTTTCCTCTCCATGTTTTCGCAACGCGTAATCTTGTGTATAAGATCTTCAACTAGAAGGTAAGCGGGATAAATTGAAAATGTGGCATTTCTTTGCTAGCTGGTCTAAAATAAGCAGCGTATCGTTATTAAATCTTCCGAAAATTGGACCTGTTTTCTTCTGCTTCTAATCTAAACTATATATTGTGATGTAATACATCCTGGTTTAGTAATTATTTATATATCTCTTATCATAAGAACTTTATTTTGTATTACTGTCCATATGCTCTCTGTAATTCTGCTGTGTTTATTGTTTCCAACTTAAAATGTTGTGAAAGAATGCTCGGAATGAAAAGCATCTAGACAAATGCTTTCAATAGGCAACATATAATATTCGTCATCACTTTCTCTTCTCATAATTTCATAGATTACTATGGAAATGCTTCTAGTTATATACTCTATGTAATTGCTAGGAGTATTCCCACACTGCATGCGCTCAGCCCGAGGTCATCCCGAGCAGCATTATTTTACATCGATTATACAATATTTATTATAAATACAGTATTTTAATTATTATAGTTGATTTAACTTGATAAACGTCTACTATATTCACCAGAATTTGAACATAATGGTATGTTTGCGTCTGATTATTGTAAAAAGGCGCGGAAATTCTAAAAGGTTTAAAATAATGGCGTGAAATCGTGGTTTTAGTTTAGCAGTCAATTATCGTGTGTATATTTAGTTAATTCTATTAAACTCCAATTATTTTTTACCATTAGCAACCTATTGGTTTTTGCACAGATATAGGAACAACTAGGGACAATTTCATATTAGGTTTCATTTTTTTGTTACTATTTTTTTTCGCGAGGAACGTTCATATCTTGCATTGTTACCGCTCTGGAGATTTTGAGTTGAAATGTCTGCTTAAGTCTATCGCAGGTGGTGGTCTGGCCGTGAAGACGATTGTCTTCCAAGTGGGCAATTGAAGGGCCATGTTTTCTGATCACGAAATATTTCTTTTAACCCTTTGTCGAGGCCTAATCTCTAATACTAAGCACCTTTTTCGTGCGAAAGATGAACTTTGCAGCATCCAATGACCCCAAACAGGATATTTTAGCTTATTTTACGTCATATTTGCGAAAAAAAAATCATTGGTCTGATAACGATTTGACATTAGTCCTGAATGTCGTTGCGTTTGTGAAATAACGAGATAAATGCATGCAATTTTACTGGTCTTTAATTTAACATAAAAATCGGTGAAATTCAGTGAAAATTCTTTGTTTATGACCACCTCTTTTTAAAATGTTGTCATCTCATTACTGTCACTTTAATCGCGCAATATGTCAAGATATGTCGCTTTGTTATAAATATATCGTTGATTTGTCACCTGGTAAAGTGCTATTCAACCGTCCACCGTCGGGATACTACTGAAAACTGATAAAATGTTTATTGAAGCTAGGTTACACTTTGTTTTCTAGAATGCTGGAAGGCAAGTGATTGCCAAACATATCGTCAATACAAGCAATACCCCAGTGGTGTCAAGTGTAAGATGTGTGAGAATTTATAGAAGAAAATATGGTTTTGGGTTAAATTTCAAATATTTGTACCGAACTAACACAATTATGGAGAAGGTGAGGACGTAAATGCATAAAAACATCATTAATGTTGGAGACATACGTGCATGGTATTTCAGTCGCAACTATTTAATCTCGAAGACTGTTCACCAGGCTGGGTATAGCGTTCGGGAGCGACAAACTCGCAAGCTTTCAATTAAATGGGAATATATATGAATTTGCTATAATGGGACTGAAAGTTTCTCTTTCTACTGAATAAGGAGCTTCATTTTCAATGTCTATGGTTCGTATTTTATCGGATGTTTTGAGACATACTTTATCGTGCCTAACGGTTTAATATACATATGTATTTAATTGATCGAACTGAAGGTTTTTGACATACATCTGCCGGAGAGATTTAAGAATGCAAGCATTAGTATCAGAGTACGATGACATGGACTGCGCCCCGAATCGAGATCCTCCATAATGCCAGATTCAGAAAACTTATTTAACGGGGTTCCTTTTCGTGCGATCATGTTTCGTTAAGAATGCGCATGAGACGTCGAAGAGAAAAAAATATTTTATTTGTTATGGCCACCTGATACTATAAGTGTATACGATATCTATATGTGGCCGCGCTTTAAAGACAAAAACTTAAAACATTTCATTGTAGAATACTGAAGAATAGGGTGAAGACAGGCAGGCTTTGTTCGTAGTGTTACATTCTTGACTATTTCTGTAAATGGTATTTAGACCGTGTCGTAGTACACAAGTGGAAGGGAGGGAGGGGTGGGGGTGTGTTGGCATGTTTTCTGGGGTACGTTTTAAAAGAAATCTTAGATAGCCCTTTTCCTCTCATTTTAAAGAATGGAGTAGGCGTGCTCCTAGAAGGAAATGACAACAAGCGCGGCAGTATATTGGCCTGTTATTCAATAGTTTTGTACATTCACGAGGTTAACAGAGTGTTTGATGAATTATGTAGCGAGAAAACAGAGGATGTGAAAATTTGGGTGATGAATGTGATGTAAGTGGAAGCGATGCTGATATCAGTGGTGAAAGTAGCGATACTTCAAGTAATAAAGATGAAGATGATAAAGTGGATAAAGTATTCGTAAAATGGGTGGCTCCTGGTGGACCTGCAAGTCAAGCTGGTTTAATGAAGGGTATGTAACTTCAGTCGTTCAAAGTTCAATTTGTGAAGTACATGGGATATTTTATTTCTTGGATGTTTGATGAGTTGGTCGTTTAGTGAGTTGGTTCGTTGATCATTTCGTTGATCATTTCGTTGATCATTTCGTTGATCAGTTCCAGATGTTAGGTCGTTAAGTTTTTTGGTTAATCAGTTATAGCTGGTTAGTCATTTGGTTGATCAGTTGTAGATGTTGGTACATCTTTTTGTTGATCGATTAGTTGATTGGTCATCGGCAACCTCGTCTTCGGGCTGTAGACTCTAGAGACGAGGTTTGGTCAATTAGTTGGTTCGTATATCAAGTGATTATGTCATTGCAGTAACCTCTCCCATATTTTATTATCCATTCATTGAAGTTCTTGTGCGTTTCTTAAGGTGACGAGGTGATCAATATAAACAATTCAGCTGTTTACGGAAAACACGCTTCAGATATTGACAATCTTCTGCAACACAGGTAATATCTTCAAAAAGTTATAAATAAAAAAGCCAAACATTGATGGTAGAAAGATATTCCAACTCAATATAGGATAGGAAAAATATTGGGAAACTTTCAACTGCATTCTAGATTTTGCCATCAGACAGACTCGCCGTCTGCAAAACCTAGCCCCTTTTAACCATAAGTACTCACTCAATGGTGCCCACTTAAAATATTATGTTATGACAAAAAATGGTGGTATTTTAAAAACGCAGAGATGTTTGTGCGTCATTTATATAACTTTCATTAAACATTAAAAAAAGATTCACAGGAAAAACGTTTTCACTTTTCACCACCTCAAACTAGGTGGATTTGAACTACGAACTGTGGGTTAATTGATTGGTAGCCAGGACATGCACGCCTTCCATTAACAAACCCATGCAGTAAAGAGGACTTTGAATTTTAACAAATAGATGTGGGAATATTACCAAGGTGTATACACGACAGCAAGGCTACATGCATGATAGGACCATAGTTCATAACCCACGAGCTTCGTTTCTATTCTCTACAATCGCATTCATGCGTAGACCATCGTTGTTGAAGTAACCAGCGGTTCCTACCACAGCTAGTTACTAACGTATGATTGAAATACACGCTGAAAAATATGCATACTGGATCGCAGTAAATTTTTTTCTGTCATTTGTTTCATTCCGATATCTTCCCGTTATTTTAGTAACGCAGTTGATGTTGATGTTGTTGAGGACCAAACCAAACGAAGGGTATGTTTTCTATATTTTGATTCTTGTTTATGTGTACTGACAGTATCCTAGGTACCCCAGAAGTGCTTGTCTCTCGAACGCAGACATATTAAATCAAATTATGCTGAAATTAGTAGGACCTATGCGTGCGTCATCGACCATGATTTGAAACTTCATATAAATGTTTTTAGCTCTGCTTCCCCAGGGCAGCACGCTACTGTAAACTGTGACAATGCGCTACAGTTAAGAGGCGATTGGATTCCTAAATGTACGCACACACACGTATATTTAACTAATTATCCAGCATTTGCATGTGTTTGGTTGTAGTAGCCGGTAGTTGGCCTAGCATCAAAGATACCTGCTGTGTGGCAGAAAACGAGCAAACAATAGCGACTAGACTTAGCGACACTCCGAGCACAGTGTGCTCTGAGTAAACAGAAAAATTGAAATAGCAGAGCATTTTGTTTCCTTTTTTGGTGTGACGTTCCAAACTTCTTAATGCTCTATATGTGAATACCCAATAGCCTTCTAAAGATTTTTTTCCAACATATCTCAACCTCATTTATAATCCGTTAAAATACAATCATCAAATCCGGATTTTTTAATTAAGATCTTTGGAGTATGGATTTTTTTTCGGCGTCTTTGAGGCAACGGTGTACACTTGTTAAAATAAATATGAAATATTAGAATCCAATTTAGATTATATATATTTTGAAAATGCAATCCTAGTGTTGGGATGAAATCCTAGTAAAGGAAAGTAAAAGCAACTCTAAGCGTTTCAAACAGTAAAATATTCCTAACTATTGTTAACAATACTAACACGTTCACTTCTTCTTCTCTTGGGAAACTGATTGCACAGCTCATGCAGTGTCTAGGGCTTTCCACTGAATTCCTTGAGCCAAAAGTTTGAGATAAAACATCTTATTTGTGTAGGGTAAACATTTTCAAAGATACCGGGAAAATGGTTATGAAGTACGTGTTGTTCATCGCGGTAGTCAAGATGATCTTACTGATCATGAATCATCAGATAATGACAATCATTCAACAGGCACAGGAAATCAGTATTTTGTTGTCACATATGGTAAAACGTCTGAAACTAAGGGTAGCAAATCAAAGCTACATCCATTTTTACGGCCAACTTCGTATTCCGACGATGAACCACTAATGGAAAATAAGTCCGTGAGTATTTCTGGGACGAAATCGGAAAATTCGACGGGAAGAATAAGTCGTTATAACCAAGAAAGCGCGTCCGTTAGAGGAAGTAAAGTTCCTGGTAAAACGTCTTCTCTTACCAACTCCATTTCCAGTTCTGTATTAGTTGAAAGTCAGGATCCGAAACCTGATGTGCCTGTTACTGTGACTACTGCTACGTACAGTACGTTAGCTGAGCCGCAATCCACACGAAGTGATATCAGCATTCAGATTACAGACAGCAATTCATGTAATAATGCATTATTGGTATCTCAAGAGAATGGTAACGTATGGGAACTGAGGGTGCCTCAGGCTACTCATATACGCCCCCGATCACCAAGTCCAGCTGCAAGAAGGGTCTCATACTTAATGGCAACTGAAGGTAATGGATCAGGAAATTTGGAATTCAGGTCTATCTCTAACGGAGAAACAAGTGACGATGGTTTATCGCCTTTCGAAGATGAAAATAACGGCCAACAGGTAGGATGTGATAAAAATAATATATTAATAACAATATTATGATATAATAGTATAGTATGGCATAATTAATCTTTAGTATAAAAATGATTTGGTCTCATGCTGCAGCATTAGTGAAAAATTTAAAAAGGTGTCTTGTTTATCATCGTTTTTATGCTTTTTAGGCAGGCAATGAACAACACAGAACAACACTTCACATTCCTAGAAAAACGAGTTTACAGGAGGACGATAATAATGCACAACCCAACGAGGACACAGAGGTATAAAGATATTTATTATTTTAGCATAGATTTGAGTAAGAAAGTTTGAGACGGGGGCTCATTATTGACGCAGTGAAGGAATATATTCTGGACAGGGCTGGCAAACTATTTCTTTATGAAATGGATTCTCCTAAGAGGGGGGCGGGCAGATTTCATTTGCAAGATATCAAACTACCCAAACCAATTGATGCAAATGAAAGGAAACGCCTTCAAGTATTCACATATTTCTAACCATCTTTTTGTTGTCATTTTCGTAGGATTTAAATGAGGAGAAGCGACATAGTTTGAAAAGAAAATGTTCAGCTGATTATGTCGAGGTAGGAGAAAATATAAGTATTGTATTACCGAAAAATGGCTGGCGTCTTGTTATTTCTAGGAAAAGTGCAATTTTCGATAGATCTACATCATCTTCTCAACGAACATCCCCCCCCCCTCCGCTCCTCCGCTGTCGTTCCTTAATTGAAAACATTCTTGTTGCCCTTATCTGATGTTGTTTTTTAAGGTGGATAAAGAAGGTTATCTTAAACGAAAATATGGAGCGACTCATGGACGAGTAAGGATACTGTAGTTATTATCGATTTTGCGTCTAACACTTAGTCTTACCCCTCACAGAGAAAATACTATACAGAGAGAGTAAGAGAGTACTTACCGTTCGAACGATAATAAATATAGTTAATATATAGTAGCTTGCTAAACATGGGGCATCGCTGTAGTATTTCTGTGTGATTTTATAAAATGACCATCTTGTGGATAACAGGCTTACTTGACGTATATAGTATAAGTATAGTATTTAAATTGCTGATTAGGATTAACCAAATGTCAGGCTAGGATATGCGTTATTAGAATTATGCGAGAATAAGGGGACAATGTGTGTGTGTGTGGTAAGTAAAATGGTTGGGATATCAATTTAACTTCATCATTATTGCTTCATTTCCATAGCGATCTTGGAAGCAGGTCTACGTTGTCCTCAAAGCTCATATCATGTATATCTATAAAGAGAAACGAGATCTGGTAACTACACATAAATTTTATATGACTCCCTATTGTGGTAAATCATTCCAATACCTGCACTCAAACCTTCATATCTAAATCCAGCCGGTTTGTATGACTGAGTTGAGAATTGTGACAAAACTTGATAATTATACGTAAGAAAAGTAATAAAACAACTCATATACACTGAATAGAGACTGCGTTTAACGGACACTTCTGTACTGAAGGATTCCTTAAGAGTGTTATAAAGGATAAGACCGCCTGCGGCAAGACATTTTAAATCGATTGACTTCTTCCCTATAGCGTTTGTTTTTGATCGTGAAATTATTGAAATATGTCTGAGTGATACGTCCATCAGTTGGGAAAACAGGCAAAAATATATAAGTTCGATATGGCAGCCATGCATGCATGCAGCAATGAAGAATGAAATTTTCTATTTATATTCATTTATCATGTTCTTTGTGACCACGTGTTTATTATTCCTACAGATGATCTCAAGTGGACAGGATGAGAAACCTATCAGCATAAAATCCTGTATTGTTGATATTGCGTACGACTATCGCAAGAGGGAAAATGTCTTCAAATTTACGACCTACAATGGATCACAATACTTATTTCAGGTAATCTAAATCCTTTTTACCATTCAAGAAATATTATAACTTACGTAAATTGGTTGAAAAGATGTCCTTTTGAGGTATCTCGTCGGAACTTGAGAAGGCTTTGAATAAAATATCATACAGATGACTGACATCACTTTTAAGACGAAGATGTTTAAACAATTTGCTCGGGCATGAATATTGTTTTTGTATTATTTTATTCCTGGTTTGTGCCATAAAATTGCTAAATGTGGTCTATTACAACGGATTATATTCGTAATTATTGCTTTATGTCTTTTGAGAAAGATTCGAGACTGTCTAATTTCGTCTATGCGTATATAATACTGTTGTAATTGTTATGCATGGGTATACATTACGATTACGGCAAATTTGAATACCTGGCAGTCCAGAAAGGACAGTAAATACAGCAAGGTTAAGTACTTGTATCGATTCCTTCGTTTCGCCTTCAAGTTCCTCATTTCATGCATTCTTATCCAATCTTACGTTTTCTGTTTCGAATTGTTATTGTTTTCAATAGCACTGAAACACGCTGTAATAAATTTCTTATGAATGTAGCATGTTCACCCAGAAAGACCACTCAATCGCCAATGCATCGTGCCTTTTTAACAACTATAAAGCTTGTCAGTTTAAGCATATAAACTAGAGCGCTGGCTTGTTGCTTTACGTGGCTACATTTAGTATTCCATACCACCTATTGATAAACAAATACTTATTTGGTAAATGAAACTACATGGTGAAATGATCGAGTTGTTGTTTTGTCCAAACGACACACGTCAACTTAAAAGATAAAGCACTATATATTATCGCGACTGTTAAAAAAATTCGCAGTAGGCAATATGCAATGAATATCTGTCGCTTGACATGTTTGCAACTTTGAAATATGCCGGTAATTTGTACTTTTTATTGTACGAGTCACTTTATTATAATAATTGCAGTAGTAACGTCGCTTTGTTGGGAAAGGGAAGAATACCGAAATACAAAGAGAAAAACACTTGAGCTAGCACAGGAAAGAACGTAAAACTGGATTTAAACACACTTTAGGGTCACTAAACTAAGTTGTTTGGTTGACCTGATGTTAGTGAGGTGGGAAGATAGTGCATTATTCTCATACATGCATGATACCGTCGACCACAGTCAACATAGCGAAGATAACAATGGGTCTTTGGCTCGATTCTTTGTGCATGTTGAATCATTAACATTTATAAGTACAATTTTACGTAATTTGCACAAATAGGAATTTGTTAGATATTAATGTGACCAAATCATGCTTTGAATAACTCGAATATCTGCATACTTGGGGGGAAAATTTTTGCATACTTCGGGGGTAGAATACTTTGGTATATACTTTATTTGTACATATAGTATATACTTCTCAGGAGCCTCGCGATTTGCAATCATGTCTAAAAATCTGAAGCAATGCGAAGTATATGACTTTAAACTGCAGCAGATTGTTAACTTACCAACTATAAGGGAGCAACTAAATTGGATATAGTTCGCGCGCAACTTCGCTGGGTTTCTTGGCGTGTCGCCTGAGCTCGGGCGGAAGCTTCAACCTTACACGTGTATATCATGAACACTGGACAAAAGGCATGCATGTTGTCATACGACTACTCGAACGGTTTTTCTTTGTGAAATCCCATTAAATCTCGTGATTAATCCCGAATGCACCTGCGGACAAAATCCGGATTCTGTAAACACCTGTATAAACACGGAAAGAGTTCCACGATACTAAAGATAAGGATGTTAAACAAAGTAAACGTAAAGACTGGTCACGGTATAATTAAGTTATCCTGTATCAAGCCCATTTACTCTCATAGATGTTGCATGTGAATGATTGAGCCTGCATCTTGTGCATTAAATATATACTTCCATTGAAAATTAAACTATTTACATCGAAATATTTCAGCTCAGTTGTTCAATAAATAGATAATTTGGTTTTCCATTTCGAATAAGTTAAAAATGGAAAATCAAATTATCTATTTATTGAACAACTGAGCTGAAATATTTCGATGTAAATAGTTTAATTGTCAATGGAAGCACATATTAAATGCATAAGATGCAGGTTCAGTCATTCACATGATGTATGAGAGTATTTTTAAATTTTGGCTTATCCACCGTTTAAGCTAAACGCCTTTCGAACAACCGGCCTTTGGACTTTACGTCATTCAAACATGCGGAAAACTTTGTAATTGGAAGATATCCCAAACAGAGTCTCAGACCATAATGAAATGTATTCATTATTGCTAATCAATACGGGTTTATACCAGGATCAACCAGACAACTACTATATTTGCTCTAATCTCCTTCATTTATCCTTTGCCTGGAGAAATTTATAAAAGGTTATACGCGGAAACTGAGGCGGAACCCTTCGGTTGTTAATTGGATTACAGACTTCCTGCGGGAAAGAAAGCAAAGAATTTGGTTGAACTCAAAGTGTTTTTACTGTAAAAAGCAGTTAATAATGCTATACATGTTTTCCACCAGGAACAAAACTCTGTCCATGGATATTTTTCGTAATGATCAATGATCTCAGATAATCAGTTTACAGGCGATATGATTAAATATGCTGATGATGCATGCTAATATTCAGTCGAAAACCTTTCTTATCAAGATTGTGCATACATGGCCATTCAGGAAGTGAATTCACTTATTCTTTTATGAGTTGGTCGTTTGTGATAAATTTAAACCTGACAACCAAAAATGCAAGGAAATGGTCATTAACTTCCAGGTGAATCGGCCTGACTTTGCAGTTTAGATAAAACCTCGGTAATGCACCCCAGGCAGATTTATTAACTTATATACTGGCGTACTACTGCATGCACAGACAGTTGCTTTTTTAAACGTTGTGAGTGTTGTGTGTTGTTTTTATCTGGACCATCCTCTAGGAGGCTGTAGACAATTTGAGTATTATGTGCTACAAGCAACCTACATATATATGCTCATTGCTTTAGAGGAAAAGAATAAAATTGTGCGCTATGCATTTATTCGAAAGCCGGATAGCGAGGAGAATAGAGAATGTGTTTGTTAATTACGATTTTGTTACACTTCGTTCGATTTAGGGTAATTTTGTTGGGTAAAAAAGGGTTGAAGGGTCTTAATCTCGGGTGGAAATCATGCACAACTCAAATTCAAGCCAGGAACAGTTGAGAAAATTGTATCAAGTATCGCTCCTCTGGCAGGAATATAGAAGCTACGTCTTTGCGATGCTTGTTCAATGCTGATGCTAAGTGTAGTGTTTATTGTATTTAAATAGAGAACGACTCTATGTGGAAATTGTAAAAGAACAGCCCCCTCCCCCCCCCCCCTTCGATCGTTGTGTTCTGACGTTCCTGCGCAAGATTATTTATTAATTGGTTGGTCTGACCCAAATTTCGGGAAACCAGTGGTATGGTGTGACGTGATGATTAGCATCGCTGGCTTCATCGCTAGGAACTTATAACTAGTTACACATTGATCTCATCTCTAAAACTTTTTTTCTTGCAATAAGCATGCCAATGTATTTAGCGAGATTACTGTGTTTGTTTTCTTTAATCTATACATACCTATTTTTAATTCAAATGATTGCAACTGTAGATAACTGATTCTGAGGCATGCTTGACTTAATTACGGTGTATGAATGAATATCTTTGATTTTGTTGCTGTGAGATACAGTTATGCGTGGAAGGCCTGGATCACGCGATCTGGGACCCAAATATGTCAAGAATTTACGAATAAATTATTTATATTCTCAACTCCTTGAAACTTCACAGTCTCCGTGTAAGCTTTAAGAAAACATTGCATTTATTTGGCGGTTTTCATGAAGAAATGTAAGTGTTGGCATTTCACCCAAGTAATAGACTCCCTACTGAGTATCTCATATTTTTGACCATTCTCAGCCCAGAATTTTTTGTGTATTTAATTCGTAATTTGTATATTTCTCTCACATGTACTGATGTAGTCTGCAATAATGCTTGCTGAATATACTTTTTGCGCCGCTCAATACTCTCTAGATTTTGCTGGATATTAGCCCATGCATGTGCGGCGATTGTGTTCGATGTATATACACAACTGCCTTGGTCAAATCAATATTTGATTTTGTACCAATAAATCTTTATTAGTAGAAGGTAAACATATAGATCATAAAACATAATGGTAAAAATATTCGAATTAGCACGTACCGGCCATTCCTGCGCATGAGGTATCTCTGATATAAAGAACTGTGCAGGAAAGGATTCTTTTAATCAGTGAAGAACGGGAAGTATTAACGCACTTCCTTTTCAAGCACTAATAGGGTATTCTTGTTCGGTTTATAGTCGAGTTTATAACTCACAATGGGCCTAATGTTGCGGAGAATGTGACAATGTGGCGCTATAATGAAATGTGACATGAACAATATTAAGAAACGACACTACCCATGCTTTCATTATTAGAAATGAAGGAGAAAACGGCGAAGTCTTCAGGAGTGAAGCTTTTCACACCAAATACTCTTTTACAGGCGAAAGACAAGGATGATATGATGTCATGGATTGAGGTTATTCAGAAGAACAACAATCCGGATGAAGATGTAAGTTTGTGTTTGAAAATTTTTGAATTCCAACTAGACTTATGCCGATAGGAGATTTAAAGTTACAGCTTCCTATAGTATATAGCTCTGACTCTATTTGCTTGTGTCATGCACGCGAGCTAGGTCTAGGATGTAAAAGTGGCTAATGTTATTGAAGGTCGATAGATTTTATACAACAACTATATATGCAGATATTGAGCAAGTTAGATACTGATTATTATATCGGTATGCACCGGTCGCAAACGTAATGAGACAGAGCTAGAGTATACTTATATTTTTCAATCCTAATGCGTATAAAGAAAGTTCCTTGACAAACCTGCTATGTCTATGACCTGTGGCATGTCTATGTCGTAACAATTTGCGGATTATAATATTGCGAAAAGCCCGGAGCTAAACTGCCAACCAAGACGTGGTATATATTTATGTATTTTTTTTTATATTCAAAAGCAAAACAAAGCACCAAAAAAGGTACAAAAGATGCGGTTGTGCATGCATTGTGTGATATTTCGAACAAAATGTGTCTCGTCCTGCTAACCTTTTGCAATTTGAACATTCATGATTTTCGTATATTGCAGACTCTTGGACGACTTTATTTAAGCCAAATTAAACAAACAGACGGCATAGTTTTACCCGGAAATTTGGCGAGTATCAGCGCAGAGATCACGAAATGATCAAATATAAAAATATATATGACATTCTCAAAACTATGGGTTTTACTAAATATTTACTATTTAGTATTAGACAGTGATTATAGACAAGACCGCGGTAACAATGGATAAAGCGCTGGGCTATATCATATATTTAAACGACAATGGCAATTAAACTGGTTTATTTTACCCGCGCTTGACTCATCGTAAACGACTAACCACGATGTACACTCACATAGTTTGTTGCTGATCAATCTGTCATCTCAAAGGAAAGCACTCTTATCGAATTTTAACAAGTTCAAGTTGTTGCGCAAATTACATATGCAATCTCGTTTATATAAATATGAAAATGTTGTTTGCGATGTTGTAACACCTCAGGTGATATAGGCCATGCAATCTTCTGAATACATCTGCTAGTAACGTTGGAAAATTCACGCGATCAGCGAATTTAGTCGTTCGTAGCACGTTTATAGTACACGGGTTCATGGTATAAACATGTACACATGACGTAGACGACCACTGCGCGGTGTTCCCTGAGCAAGTATTTATTGCGGATTGTGTTATCTGATACATCGTTTACCCTGTGTCGTGGATGACATCAAGACAACCGCTTCATAACATTTTGGGATTGATGTAGTTTTTTTCTTGCTCACAGTTACCGTATGTTCTTGAGGTAATGGAATTGAATATTTCCTGTGCGATCTTAATGTTTTAAACATTTTCTTTGTTTCATGTGTTAAATGTTTGTTGATAGAGTGATAGTATACAAGTCTACATAGTTGTTATTATCGCGTCAAGTGTGCTACTAGAGCAACACGGGAAGTGTTAATATGTACTGTTTGAAAATCTGTCTTCTTTTTTCTTCAAAATCATCGTTATTCAAAGAGTTGATAAATAGTGCATGTGTATGAATGGGTTGAGGCAAATGTCGTCTGTAACTCTTGCTGCCGCGGAATATCTGAATGAAAGATCTGCGGGCAGATATTGGAATTTTTAAAAATCCTGAGCCTGAATATTCTAGAGTATACTAGTCGCATATTTGGTGATACAAAGATGAGTCCATCATTTCTTTTTCCGGATCATATTTTGTGTTACAACCATTATCTAAGATTCTTCTCGTTTGTTTTAAGCTATACTGAACCGGGTCACGAACTTTCGCTCGCCGAAAACAATATTTCATTAAATTTAAAACTGATTATTTATTTCCCAGACATTCGGACGTACTAGCGAAGACCTTATAGTCAGACGGAAGAAGAATATGGATATTGAAATATCAAGGTATATTGTTTTGTACATATGTAGCGGTTTTGTCTAGAGGACAAAGTTAATAACTTTCTTGACATATGCCTTGAGTTGAAATGTCCGACAGCATGCTGTAAATTGATATCTTTTATTAGGAACGTTTGTCTAACATGGATCGCTAATATGGTATTATATTTTTTACCATTGGTAACTTGTATTTATTCTGATAACATGGAGCTGACGTAAAAATCAACAGCGCATGATTATTAAAATATTGATCATAGATCATTCATCTCTCTAGGACTGCTGTGATTTGTGTTATTCGAAATTTGAGGTGGTTTCTGTTTTAGATTAAAAATATGTCGTTTGTTTCTAATTATTTATCTCATCGCTCGCAATTATCAAGTACTCTAACAGACCATAATCTTTTGATGCGCGTTAGCAATTTATTCCCAGGGGTTTTACGTGTTAAGAAGGTTGGGTCAAGTATTCGTAAACTATAACTATTTTACCAAATGTGCGCAAAGAATTAGAAACATAGGTTTTGGTTTTAGCAGCGGATATGTTTCGTGTCATTATGTGTGTCGGTTCAGAGATCAGGACAGGAAAGATGAACTGGCAAATTTATAATATTTATCAGTGGGGTGATCTGATCATTGGATCATAGATCATTATGGCTAAAACGATTGTCAGGTTTTGATAAAATACTCAAACATTTTGTGGCAAGTCTAGACTTCCTATCAAAATATCCATACAATTACCTGCTTGATAACACTCCATATGTTGTAGCATTCGTGTAGCGTTAGGAATTGTCATTTCCGCGATAGAGAAGGTATTGAGCACATAATTGAATAAAACGATTAGTTTCGTGTTTGTTAAATCCGGAACTAATTTCCTGTATCGCTACAAGTTATTGCACCGTCGGGTTTCTTTATGCTGTAGTTTCTTCAGTTTATGCTGTAGTTTCTTCAGTTTATGCTGTAGTTTCTTCAGTTTATGCTGTAGTTTCTTCAGTTTATGCTGTAGTTTCTTCAGTTTATGCTGTAGTTTCTTCAGTTTATGCTGTAGTTTCTTCAGTTTATGCTGTAGTTTCTTCAGTTTATGACCAGATTTTTCTTTGTGAAACGATTTACAAAACTGAATTGAACCAGGTATCAGGTAACCACCTTAAAATCATTGTAAGCGCTTCAACAAAATCGTATACGTCAAGAGGAGGATAGCAGCCAGCGGGTGTACAGACAATAGAAAACCAGTATAGGGAAATCTTTTTACCCCCTGGAAGATGGTGGTATAAAATAAGAAAAATACAGTACAATACAGTACATGTAAACATAAAATACAAGTAAAAATACAAGTTCAAAATCAACCATTGTTCGGACATTGGGTTTGGTGCAAGTTTTTATTTTCGTATTTTTGACAAAATTTAATATTAATATTCTCGTAATTTCCCATGGTAAATTTGTTACGTCAATCATCAAGTTTATTTATTCGCTGGGCGAATATTGTTAAAAGAAATCCAGTGAAACGGATTTAAAAAATTTGAATGCAGAGAATCCATGTTTTCTTTTTCATCGTCTAACCAACTCCTTCGTTACTTTTACTCAATAATTTTATAACATTTTATACCTTTCGTCAGGTGTTGATGACTTCTAATTTAAGTCTTATCCCTTTATTCCGTTTGGTCTGTGGAAGACGGAAAAAAATTTCCTTTTCAGTTTAGAACCAACTTTCAAATCACTCGAACTTGTTTAGGACCGACACACTTTGTTTGCTTGAAAAAGTACAATCACTTGAATAATCTGACGCCTACACAACTTTAATCCTCGGAGCCTGCACAGAAACCCATTTTCCAACACTTCTACGCGTTCTTTTTGAATTTTTGAAGTAAAAATAATTTGCTAAGAGGAATTTACGTACGTCAAGCAGCCAAGATGAGTCTGAATTTCTGCACGTAATGCTAATTAGTAATTCGATAATAATATTTTATCGCAAGCATTTTTATAATCTCGTAAAAACTCGAAATTCATAATCAATTAATTTATAATGTTATTAAATCTTCCCGCCGCCCATACCATTTTTAAAACTTTTTTTAAACATTCAGTCTCCTTCATTTCTAGTCAAACAAACAATAAAGCCATTCCTCCAACATCGTTAAAAATTGGTGGCTTAAAAAAAAGCTTGTCGTTTAAAAGTAACTCAGGAAGTCAATCTTCGTTTAAATTCAAGAAAGGTTAGTACCAATGTCACATTGTTTTCATCTCTGACATTTCTTCCTGTTTTCAAAGTTTTTGCATAGTCTTTAGAAAATATTGGTGTATTGGACGTGCATATAAAGGCTGGTCGACTTTCATGATCTCAACTCAAAGTATTTTTGTTACTTGGAGTAATACCGTTACCTCTAAATTGTTTCAATAAAACACATCCTCTTAACTTTGAATTCAACTTTTGAACTTACACCACTTCTGTCTTTGTTCCTAGTTTTCTATTGGACCGAGTATAAAATTTTAGTCGTTGTAGCACTTGACAGTACGGTTTAAAATTTACAATTTCAAGCTTTAATCTAGATTAAAGAGTCAAATTAAAAACTGCGCAAGTACTTGAAAATGTTTCATCAAATTTTCCACACAATCGACTATTGATAACAAGCTGAAGAGCCAGATATGTCATTTACAGTTTTCATCCCCCTCGTGCTCATGAAGGGGCGCAAACCCACCCCCCTCATACTCTCAAGTACAGATTTGATTTCCGTTAAAAATATTGCTTCTGTACATCATAATGCAATCAAGTTGAAATTTATGCTGACATTTTTCTCCCTTTGGTGTGTAAGGTCGTAAATTTATTCACACTGGCCAGAGACCCCAGAGGCCCAGACCGAAATATTCCTGTCACAAATATTCTAAACATGTGATATTATCAAGGGATATTCATATTTTACATAATTGTACACACGAAAGCTCTCGTTTCTTGTTATTATCACAAAACCCAAAGTATTGTGCTGTTGATTATGAAGTTGAACTGACCTTGATATTTAGTCGAAACGACGGAAGTATAAAGGACATGTTAAATGTTTTGGTTTGTCACCTTTCTACAGACATATTAAAATGATGAATATTTGAAATATTGTACAAAACACGCTAGGAATGTAACTTTACACGTGGCCTAAAATTTCTGTAAAGTTATATATAGATTGTAGTTTCAGAATAACTTGTACCCAGGCTTAGATTTAATGAACGTTTGATTTTATCAGGTAAATAGTGATCATATGGAGCTAATCTAGAACGATTGCAACCAAGTTATAAAATATCAGACAAATTTAGTTACAAAGGATGTCTAGTTTGATGGCTAGTCTTCATTATTTATGCGCCAATGATGACAGTCAAGTGAATAGTATGACGGATCATTTGTCCCGTATTCTATTCAATATATTTCACGGCTTACTCTGTACTCGAGAAATATTCACTTTATTTCTTCGTTTTCAAATTAGTAAGCTCTACTGATCGTCCATCTTACTTAACAGTGTCTCCAAGCATGATATATTCCTTAAATTATTGTGACTGAAAGTAAATTGTTAATATATTTCAATTTTAGATTGCGGTCGTTTTAGCTAGGTGTTCGTTTAGTTATCGTTGCTATAGTTCTTGGCATTAGGTTTTGCTTGTTTTTTCTTCATTTAATATTCCTTATTCCAACACTTTGCAGTGTCCTTCAGGAACAGATAAATATGCTGTTGAATATATATATATATTTTGTTGTTAGTACCCCCAACAGAGCTAGTCGTGTTGTTTTGAGATGTTCTTTTATAAACAATTGACCCATGTTGATTGGATCAGCTTGAGTGATTGTTGTTCTTCATTCTTCGCTTTTTTATCCGAGAGGCCTGCATCATCTGTCCTCTCTTGTGCCTTTGAGATATGTCTCCTCTTAGTTTGGTTCCAAAGGTTTAGGATCGTTACCTGTGTAGAGTAGCTCAACCGGATTCTCGTGGTCACAAGATTGCGTCTACCGCATTATGTACAAGAGAACATTCTAGCCTGAAATTATCGACACAAATATAATTATGATGTATCCTATAGAACAAACCATCAGCGCGAACTGTCAGACTCTAGAGTTTTTCTAGCTAAAGATGTTGCCTTATTATCCAAAGTAATCTTGTCATATTTAAGACTCTATGTGGACATGTCTTTCACATCAGTGAGATCATTTTGGAATACTGGTATATAGTTGTATTAACAAACATTCTCGGAGAATATTAAACTCATTGGCGCTAATGGCTTTGTTTTTCTCTTCCCGCATAGCGATCGACAGCGATGGCGGCAAAGCAACTTGGCATAGTAAAGTCGTGAACAAAGTGAGAAGAATTGGAAATACTACAAGCAATCCTATTCCTCAATACCAATCACAAGGTAGCCTACATATGTTTGTTGTTTGTCGTTTATCAACTCTCAAACAGAGTGAACATTGTGAATGGTGTTCATACTCGTGTTTTGATATGACTGTATATAATTCTTTCCTGTGATTATAATTCACAAACAGAAATATACAGCATGCACTTGTTTCTGTTGCGAAATCGATCGTTTAATTCTAGCTTGAAAAAAATATTGTAAAGGGATCAATTTGCAACATTTATATACCTGTCCGTGGGCAGACAACTGATCAAATATTATGAAATATATATACATAGATTTCTTACTGAGACGTTTTGTTGATATCACACAACTGGCACGATACACCGTTCTTTAGTAACTTGACCACTTCAACAACCTTTCATCATGATCATGATAGCCCTTCAACTACTTCATGTCTTGTTTCTGAACTGGTTGGTTCAAGGACATCTTGTTAAAAGATGTGATCATGTGAGATGTTGCTGCAGTTGTTGACATTGTGCCCAACCAGCTAGTGCATTGTTTTTGATATAACACAGGAATATCTTTCTAGTTTTTATTTCTCTTCCGACCGTGGAGCGACGTCTCTCTCTCTATGCACGTCACCTTTGACTTGGTTTTTGTCCTAATTTTGTTGAAATTACATGTTTATGTGAAAATCTCAATTATTTTTCACAATGTTTTATGAATATATAAATTCAGTTAATTTCCGTTAAATCGGACATTGGCCTTTTTAAGAACTGTTAAAAACGAAACGGAAATGTTCGGTTTTTTATTTGCACGACTTAATAAAATTAATGTAAACCTGGCTAATAATTTTCTAGTTTCTGATAATTTGTTTATAAAATACAACTAACCAAAGTTTTTAATGAAAACCATGGTTTTATATAACGAACGCAGTTTTGCAATACGTTTAATTTTTGTCTACGACGTCCACGGCATTATATTTTAAAAGTGATTTCACTACATGCAAATATATGCCGTCTCTTATTGTTTTACTAAACTTCTTCATCTTTGTCTTTTTTAGCATTTTCAGCTGTAACTTCATTAGAGCGATGCCCCAAGTCTAAAACGAACTCGGTAATATAGTAATTCATTTTTGTTTATTGTAGATATTAGCACTTTATTTTTGCTGCATGACTAACGCAATGCATGATATAGTTAAGTATCTTGTTGATCATTAAAACTATTCTTATAGTCTCTACCACTTCTTGTTGAACATTGCTGTAATGTCGTGGAGAATAAGGCCTTGGAGTCTATCGGTATTTACAGGTAGGTGTCCGACTCGTGACTACGTGTATTTATCGTATTTTCCTGGTGTGTAGTAAGATATTTCTACAGAACAAATGGTATAAAAAGTTTCGGATTTTGTTATAAAATGGTATAAAAAGTTTCGGAGTTGATAAAGTGGCATCTGTCTGCATTAGCCTTTCCGATCTATTTTTATTCATCACGGAAGTACATGGGAAAATTTTATTTTTAATTTTGTTATTTCCATTTATACCACATTTATCGACCAAGATTGTGTTATTGACGGAAGATATACGGATAGTCGCTATTGTTTATGACTATTTATAAACTACCTGATCTTTTTCATTAGCGCATGCATGCATTGTCTGAAAACACATTAAATACTTAACTGTAGCCTTCGCCAAGGTAGAATTTATAACAGTAGCTTTGCTTCAAACTATTTATATATAAACATCCCATGCAATGATCTATAAATATTACCATTAAAACCATAGGCCCATTCAAATATGCGGTTGTGATTGATTGGCTCGCGAATTTTCTATTTTCTTTGTGTAAAATTATATATCTTTAAGGGATAAAAGCATTCTATAAAATAACTCCCCCACAAATCTTTACCCTTAGAAAGTATAACAATATAACAATAGCATGCGAGTATAGCATACGCCTAATGCTGTTTTAGACTTCCTGCCAACGAGATGAATTTGAGCAAAAATATATATTCTTAAACAATGGTAGACCGTTTTGTCCTCCCAGCCCTGGTATACACACTCATGCACGAGTAATATTCTTTAGGAATCCCAATCCATTTTCCAGTTAACCAGTAATGTCCACTTCTTATAAGTTCGTCAAAAACCTAAATCTTGTGTTATGTTTGCGGTGAATATATACTATAACCTCCCTGAACGATTTACCGAATAGAGCGCCATGCATCGTGGCAAAAGATGTAAAAATGTCTTGTGCAAAAACAGAAATTTACAGGTTACTTTTCTGTTTCTGCAGGGTACCAGGCAATAGTGCTATGGTAACAGCTTTAGAAGAAGAATTAAATATTAAAACACCAGAAGATGTCAATTTTGATGAACCGGTATGAAGAACTCCTGTCAATAATCGATATATGTACAGATAAGCAGTTGTATAGGAATACTTATATTTTAGTCACTTTTGATAAAAACGATTCCGTGACAGTCAACACCATGCACAATTTGGCTGTATTTGTGAATTATAAATTATTTCATTAGGTTATTTGTTCCATTGTAAAGTGAAAGAATATTTTGTTTTGTAGAAATGGAATGACGCCAACAACATGGCCAGCCTTTTGAGGAATTTTTTAAGGAAACTTCCAGAGGGACTGGTCACGTCGGGTAAGACAACAATTGGTCTTTTACCAAAACAGTTGACAGTCACTCTGTGATGGATTAGGGGAGGGGAAATATAATGACAGGCAACAAATATAAAATATTACAATTACACAATCAAAGAATTAAATATCTCGGAATCAGCGTCTAAAATATACAAAACATCGAAAAATTTTAGTATATTTTAAGGCGTTGCTTGACCGTATTCCATATAATTTACAAGTTATAATAAACTTGGTTATTTATTTGTTTATTTATTTATATTTATTATTGATATATTGTATACAACAGCAGGCGTTTCTTCATGAGAGATGACTGATTGACTTGATTGTCTGATAAAAGACTGATTGTTCTCTTGTAGAACTGTATGCTAGATTCATTGATGCCAATCGTATAGAAGGCGACGATAGAATGTGGTCACTAAAACGTCTGGTAAGTAATTTCCTGTTAATTTACTATACCACAAAGATGTTTTGAAGTCAACAGACGTTTCTCCACCTTTCATAACTGGAACTTTGCAAAGACTCTTGATATAGGCATGGAAATAACATTAACTTTATCTTGGATATGAATAGATTGGATAATTGTTATAATCATTTGTAGATCCAACAACTCCCTTCTGCCTATGGTGAGACATTACGATTCATTATTGCACATCTGAAGAAAGTCTCTCAACATTCCGACAAGAATAAAGTAAGTTGCAATACTTCATCAGTACGTTTTGTTTTGCATGTAACTTTCGCTGTGTAGTAAGTTAGCATGTATAGTAAGTTAGCATGTATAGTATTGTTTCGTGATAATAATATCTCGTATTTTTATTAATTGAATAATTTGTTTCATTCAAACGTTTTTGATCTCTTTTCAAAGATGGAGGTTCGAAATCTTGCTATAGTATTTGGACCAACGATTGTTAGAACCGGAGAGGACAACATGTCTACTATGGTTAGCGATATGACTGACAGATTTCGGATTGTGGAGAGTTTTATTAATAACGTAAGTTGATAACTTGTTTCTCTTCCCTCCTATAAGAAATGAGAACCCCAAAATGATTCGACTGAGAATACTTCAACTTTGTTGGGGAGAGAGTTTGAGCTTTAAGTAAATATTCGCCTTGTGTATCTTTACTGTAGTCAGCGATGATTGGCTTTATTTAAGTAACTTTCCCGATCTTAAATTTGGGATACTTGCTGCAACAGCTGTTACCAATCTTGCGGATACTCAAATCTTGTATCCAAGGCTTGAGGAAAACCCCTGAAACAAGGTTGCAGATGACTATTTCACTGCTTATTTAAGCTTTCTTCATGCACGTGTCGACGTCAATGGATCAAATGCAATGATCTCTGCAGCAAAATTACCAACTCGTATTGCGCATCCTAAATTGTAACAACGTGTTTATTTAGTTTGATTGGTTCTTTGACAATGAAGCTGTCTCTGAAGGTGATTGTTCGTCCTCACCGGTAAGGAACAAGCTTGTCTTTACACTTCGATATCTACTGTTGTTTAAATTAGAAGAATTGCTTTTTTGACCTGACAAAAAGTGTGCTAGATTATGATATTAGATCTTTTCTTCCTGTGTTTTAAAAAGTCACATTTTTTTGTTCAGATATCTCCACCTGCGGAAATAACATCTCCTTTGCTTATGTCCAGTAAAACAATGAACTCGATTGAACAAGCGGCTGTTAATTATGGTATGTGATGTAATTTGATTTGATGTAATGTGATTTGATGTGATGTGATGTTATGTTATGTGATGTGATGTGATGTGATGTGATGTGATGGGATGGGATGGGATGGGATGGGATGGGACGGGATGGGACCCATGGATGGATGGATGAATGGGATGGATGGGATGCGATGTGATGTGCATGCTATAGTTATCCATTAACTATCAACTTTTTAATTTTTGCAGATTCAGATCAACCATGGAAAGCCAAGGTAATTATATATCACTCTTAGTTATCCTTTTTAAGATTTGAGGTCTGGATTGTTGCCGACTTGCGGTCATTCTGTGTTTTTTACGAACTTAAGTAATTAAAAAATCTTTAGCGGGATCTTGTCCAACCCTCAGTCTCGTATATTTTTTCAGGGTGGAAGTATGAAATTACCAATGTTTAAGAGTTTCCTAAAACCAGACAGTTCCAAGAGTTCAGAAAATAACAAGAAACATGAATTTAATCCGGAACGAGCAGCAATTCCAGAACCAGTGGATAACAAAACCTCTCCGGTAAACCTCTCTCCTCGCTATGGAGGTAATTCTGAGCCAAGTTCCCCGTCGACCAATCGACGGAAATTCATTAAAAGACATCATTCCAGTACGAATATTTCGATGGACGTTTACGAGGATTTTGATCGATCAAAGTCGGAAGGTGAAGATGAAGAACACGCGTTTTATCCGCGGCCAAGTCATTCTACAAAAGCGTATTCTTACGCTCGTCCTCCGCCGCCATCATATCGAGAATCGCGAAGCAAAGTCCGTGCACCAGCCGGTAGCAACACGCAATCATCCAACAAAGATTCCGTTGTCCCGGAATCGGCTGGTTTCAGTCTTTTGAGTGACGATACAAAAAGGAGAATTTTAAGTTTCAATTTACGAAACAAAGTGAAGGAAAAGAAAAAACAGCAGGACGAAACAGCTCCACATCCAACTACACAAAATGGTGTCGTGGAAAAATCCCGGACGGACTCTGTGACGGTGACTATTCCCAGGAAACTGTCAAACTCCTCTCAAACTGGCAGTAGTACGTCCGACGAACAAATTGTTGATCAACAGTTATCGCCAAGTGAATCGAAACAGCAATTTGAACAACGTGAGAAAGATAACGAGTCTTCTCCTGTTAAGACGTTTTCAAGCGATGCCGTAAGGCGAAGAGATGGATCCAGTTCTGCCTCATCAAGTCGAAATTTTAAGATATATTCCAAAGGTGATGTAACTTTTAGTCAATGCCAGCAACATCAGATTAATGAGTGGATGAGAGATTTAGGTATATCACCCAAGGCTGGTAATGAACGTGGACGTGCCCTGACTAAAACAGAAGATTTGGGTAAAACATTAAGACGATCATCTAGTGTCGCTAGAACATCATTTACACAAGATGACGAGGAGATCATTATGAAGCGAAGAAGTTTATCCTGTCAGAATATAAATATCGGAGACGAAGATGTGACTCGTGGTAGATCTTCAAGCAAAAGTAGTGAGTCGTCTGAGTCATCTGACGAAGAAGATAAATTAGAAAATTCCTCGGAAACATTTGATGAAAAACTCCGTGGCTTAATGCAAAAATGTAAACTGGATAGTAAAAGTAAGACTGAACTTCAACAGGGTAGAAAAGGATCTCTTGCCAGTCGTCCATCAAGTTACCGCATGAGCAGGACACCTGTGCAGAAAATGAGAGATATGGATCCAACTTCGAATATTCAATCCGGAGCTGTAAGTTCAATGAAATCTCTATTTGAAACAGGCGTTGCTCATCAACAAGTGGTAAAATCAAGATCCTCGTCAGTAAGCTCTGCTTCCTCTGGTTCACTACTATCTAATGATACCAATCGAAAGTCGACATCTTCTACATTAAGTGATGCGGATGTCAAAAGACGTGTTTGGGAGTCTGGTGATGGCAAATCAGGAGAGGTGAAGAAACAATGGAAAGAACCAGAGTGGGTTGCTAGAGAAAGAGCGATGAAAAACCTGAATAGTGGAAGTGAATCTTCTTTTAAGGAACAACCAGACAATAATAATAATTTACCAAAGCCGAGAGATTCAAAAATGCAATATTCTCGTAGCACATCACTTCCAATGAGGGATAGTGGTTATGTCGTTAAAGATGTTGTAGTTGAGAGGAAACGACCAGATCTACCAAAACCACAACTGTTGAGAAAATATTCTGCTGATTACTTTAAATCAGCGAATGGAAGTCCAATCATTCAACGTGCGTCAGTGAAAAATGGACCTACAATTAGTAAAATTACTCCTGCTTCCTCTGTGCAATATAAACCTGAACTTAAGACTCAATTAGAAAGTGACACAGCACAAGTATCACATGTACAATATAATCCACAAAGACCTCAAACAGAAAATCATCCAGTGTCTGTATCGTCAGTGAAATATAGACCGGAGCCAAACACACAGGCAGACTATCGATCAGGAGACGCTGACAAGAGGAGTTCTCCTCATAAGATACTAGGAAGAGCACAGAGTTCTCCCTTACGATCAAGGATTTCATCCCAGGAAAGTACCCCACCTGCAAGCCCGACAGTCGTCAATTACACTCCAGATAGTCCAGGCTCCTCAGTTTCTTCTGCGGTCAGCCCACCTACAAAAGATAAGTCGAATCGTTCTCGGCGAAGACTCGTAAGTGATACAACCCATCGTGGCCAACCAGAAACTCGACAATCAGGACGTACTTTCACTGCTCCGATACTTGGCACGATTGTCACTACAACAACTGCATTTGAACTTTCCGCGTTTCCTAATCCTAATCTCAATCCAAATCCTAAAACCAGGTGTGTTCGACGTTCAGAGAGACAGGACAGTGGAGGGTTACAAGGTAGAACGCGGTCTTCTAACGATATGTCAACTATACCACGAGCAACACTCACGATACCAAGTACGTCGTCGTCTCCGTCTCCGTCTCATTACGGAAGCCCGAGTGTTCGTCGAAAGGCGGCACCTGGATTAACAGTGCCAGATATCGACGAATCAAAGCGATTATCAACTGATAGAACATTACTGGAACAAAACGCGCTGCATATAAAAGAACTACTTGACGAGATGAACACCGAACACTCGTTGAAAATGGAAAGACAAAAGTCTGATACCATTTCAATCGACGCACAAAAAGCGGCGAGAAATAAAGCGAGAATGCGAAGACGTTCCCTCGGACCGGACAGAGAAAATGGGGTGGTTGTTTCATCACGCGTTACTTCATCTGGAGCAATCAATGATCGAAACAGACCAGAAACTCAAGCCACAAGAAACGTTAGTACCGTTGAATGGGTTGGTGTAAGTAGTTAAGAGTTTTACATCAAATAATTTCTGTATATTTATATATTTTAATATACATTGTATAGTCGTTTTATATAGTTAACTTAAAGATGAAAAGAGTACTAGATTATAAAATTTTAAGAATTCTTATAAAATGTTGTTGTATATTACTATATTATATACGTTGTATGTTGTGTTCTGTACATAATAAATATTTTTAAAATATTCTCTCTTTTCGTCTTCGTGCAAGCGCACTTTGTCCAACAAACCTCAAATATCTTAATTGCATATTGTGCAACTTTGTACGTTTATAGGATAACTATATTGCCCCAGGTTGATTTCTTTAGACTGTGCATTATTCCCATAGACTGAAAACATCGACAATATTATTTTATTTATGAATAATAACAATTACATGCCCAAGAAACCCAATATTACGTCTATTTCATCTTTGTTGATGACTGTGGTTGATAATTATGGGCTTGTTTTCGGTTGTTGTCAGTTTTTGACGTATTTTGTCGGTTCCCAGTAGGACTGAATTTTTCCTTCTACAATGCTGATGCTTGACGATTATCATCCTTATCCCCAGGGCCTAGCTCCGTTGCTCTCCACAAAAGTTTATATAATCTATTGTATCATCCAAAAGTTAATTGTGAGTAACATAGTTTTTTTTGAGATGAGGCTTTTCCAATAAGTTACGACATAGACTCAAAGTGGAAACAGTTTGTTAATTTAATAAATATCAGTTTATATACATGTCAGCGTACAGACTCTGTACGTGGCAACGCATGCATCAGGTCGCGTATGGTCGCGTGGTGAAAGATTGTAACGCATCCCTTAAATGTGGGAGACGTGGGTAGTCTCGATCTAAAGTCTTTTGTGATAACAGTCTCTCCTATGCAGTCCTATTGTTTAATTATACGAAATATTTCATGACTTTGTTTAACCATCTTTGAAGGCCTTTGAAAACGGCGTTGTCTTAGAAACAAAGACAGAAAATATTCAAATCAGAAGTCAATGCATGCAATGCGCGAGGAAGTTATCCCGTGGAGCAGGCAAACCGATTTTGATTTTTTTCTTTATCCACCCTGAGCCCTTTGCGGAAACTGAACTGTGAGGTTATTAAAATTTAAAAAAAAAATCTCATTTGCATTTCTTAGCCGCACATTTCAATGTTTGTCATTTAGGCACGTATTGTCATACACGACATCTTACGGCGTAAAATGATATCTTGTCATGATAACGATTTATAGCATATGGATAGCAGTATTGGCTTACCGCTCTCTACAAGCACAACAAAAACTTCACTAATCATGCATTTTCCGTATATTTGACGAAAAGAAAGCAACAGATATATCCCAAATTATGGATATTTTGAACCTAATCAAAATCCAGTGGCGTCGGTAGCTACCGTGGCTTTGTGCTTGTATGAAAGTTAAATCATTCTTGGTGCCCCTTCCAGCTGATATAATTATAATACACAAGGTAATTGTGCTATATAACGTTGTATTAATTTAATTTAAACCTTATTACTAGGCCTGCTGAATGTTATCGTTGCAATGCCAGTTTCAGAACAATTTATAGTTGAATTGTTAATTTGAAGCATATCACTTATGGATTATCCAACCTGCCATCTACATTTAATTTGTTTATGTATGATATTTGTCATAGGATAATGCTTTATCTGACAAATCGTTAAAAACAGAGTAGCTTTTATTGTACTTTATGTACAGATTTGATACCGTTCGTTAGAAGATGCATTCATGTTAGATTAGTCAGCTGGCTTGCTGAAGTGTTAAATGCCTCATCAAAAAGCAGTATGAGAAATTAAACCAGCTCTGTGTTTAGCAATGATAGCTGCCAATATGCAATCAAGGACAAATATAAAGTCATATATTAAGTAAGTATCGATCTATTCTGGGTCCCCTACTGGTTGTTATATCGTCAGTGCATTATACTGCATGAGTCTACATTTGGTACAGTTGAAATTCAGGGGAATTCGAAGTATAAGCCATGCCGGTTTTTGCATGCATTGAAGTAATTTGCAATTTTTTTCACAGCTAAAGTTTTAAGTGCTTTTCATAATATCATAATATCGAAGACTGACGGAAAACAAGATACTGCATGAGTGAAGTTTATTATTTGTTTAACAAAATAAATTAAATAATGATCGCTATAATTTCGCTGCACAATGCACGTATTCACTAACATTTATAAGCGTCTAGTATGCGTTGTTTGAATGGGCAATCCTATTCAGTTATAATTGTTTGTTGCATCGCCAGCTTATCTTCTCGAAGGTGACTATTTTACAAGCGAGGTTATGGCTTATGCTAATCAATAAGTGCTTGTATAAGTTGTTTCGGATGCGGATATCTCGTTAGAGAAATACGTGTCGAGAAGTAGTCCACAACTTTCCGGCATTTGTTATGTTATTGTCTATACGCGTATGTTCGTAAAACAACATGTGAAGAGAAGAAATAATTTGTTACTCTTTTGTCACCATAGGTAGCTACTCAGCCATAAGCCAAATACCATGCGTTATCCAGCGCTGTGCTGTGTGTCTCTCTTCATAAATTATTGTCTGGTTATCGCTTTACCTGAGAAAGATTGGTCAACACAGTACAAGAATTATAACAAGGAGTTTCATGTTCTCCTTGAAGCTGAAGGCAAGTGTTAAATTTAGTCATAAATATTTAACTGAACAAAGAAAGTTTACTTGAAAAGGTTTAATCGAGGTTGGTAACAAAAATACACAGTATGTGGTATTCGTGTGAACTTAGTGCCTCGATTAAATTAGTATAACTGACGCCAACATATAAAACAGCTGACATAACTTCAATAGTATGTTTTTCCGTTCTAAGATTAGTCAAAAGAAATTTTAGCTTCAAGTCAGTAAAATACTGAACGACATTTCTGGATAACGTTTTAATTTTGTGGTTGTGCATTTCCCCGTCTCTTCAATATTGGACACAGTTCACAAAGTTTCTGAATGAATTATATATATGTCCTGCTGATTATCCCGACGACCAATCTAAATTTCATGAAGACTTGAAAATTAATACAGCGGTTATTTCTTTATATAATATATATTATATATAGTATAATATATATTATATAATATATATTATATAATATATATTCCAAAAGGTCATTTTAATTATAGTGATCCAGAATATATATTCTCTTATTTTGCTGAGCTACCACATGTTAAATTTTGAAATACATTAATTACTTCCACTGCTCATATATAATCCTAATGTATGTTCGATAATCTAAAGGTCTATCAAGTTCAGATTTATAGGATTTCCATACTGTTCGGTTTGAATGCGGTTTCTGGTTGACCTTCACAGTGTTGGTGTTGTTGCTCTCCGTTGTTCAATTCTGTTGTTGTTGCTTCTCGTTCGACGAGGTCCTCACTCTCATCTGATTCTCTCGCATCACCATTCATCTGTTTAAAAAAGGATGCATTCCTTGTGACTACGTGTCTTCGACTTTCAGCTGTTATCTGAATTCCTTTCCGTTCGATTATTATTTATGGTTCCAGTTCGAAATACTTGTTTCTCTTTCTTTGTCTAAGTATGACTTTGTCCCCCACTTTTAGTGCCGATGGTTTTGCATGGCTCTTTTCATTTGCGTTTTTTCTTTCTTTTGTTTTTGCTTTTGCATCGTTCGCCTTAGTTCCTTGTGTCGGTATCTTTCGGGTTTAACATCAGCAACGTTCCTCGCACAAGTCGGTTGAAAAGGAGTTAAGCTGTTGGAATGTTCGTTGGGCAATGAGGTGTGGTCCAATAACTCAGAAAAAACCTGGAGAGTTCTTGTTGTTCTTCCTTGGCGGTGTCCTGGTGTTAGACGCATTTAACGTTTGATCATCTAAATTTCCTTCGTCAGGATTGAATGGTGGCATTGGAGTCACCGAAGCCATTGTCGTTTATTTTAAATTTCTGTCCTAGTCGCCATTGTTAAATTTTGAAATACATATATTCTCCGCCTCTAACGCGATGTTGCTCTAACGCTCCCCCTAACACAATACTTATTTCCTTCTTTCTATATTTAGCCCCCTCGCCTGACTGTCAATCAGGAGGCGTGTCTACAACACTACACCACACATGCATTCATGTGCGTGGGATTAAGTTATATTGTTAGTTGATGAAAGGAATATTTCTGTCTGGGTGTTTAGTTATTTAGTTTTATTATTTCCTGGATAACAAAAGTTCTTCTAAGGGTGAATTATATAAGTGGGTATATAATTGAGTGAAAAAATTATGCCTTCAGGTATATTTTATAAGAAAAGATCTTTAAACATCAAAACAACGCCTATCCGTGCATGCATGGTACAGCCACTTAAATGAACAATATGATTTCAAGACCTACAAATGATCGGGGAAAATACTCATAATAATCATTTATATATTTTTTTCGTTTTAAGATTTGAAAATGTATGAATTCAATTCAGCTTCAATCAGAAATTTCACAACTTTCAAATTTTACAATGGTTCTCTTATTGTTGGTGCGCGGTAAGTTAATTCCTAAACCCAAGTTTTGTCTTAAACCAAACCAAATGTAATGAAGATTGAAGATGAAGATTCAATTAAAAAATGAAATTCAAGCTTATCAACATGTAATTTATTTCAGAAATTCAATATTAACCATGAACATCACGGCAGCAAGTATTCAGAATGTTACGGTATATATTTTTTCCATTCCAAAATATTTACGCATAGCCACATCAGTACATTTGTAAACTATAACCAACCTTACACCTTTTGGTCTTTATGTTACCATAACTATATATATATATAGTTGTAAAGGTCGATACACCGGACGCGATCAAATAGAATATTTCTAACTTATTTTATGTCAACTTAGGAAATAAATTGGACGCCAGCCCAATCTCAACAGAGAGATTCTTGTATCCTTTCTGGTACTCCGGAGGTACACGTCTTAATTGTTACTAGAAATTTTAAAAATTGATCAGACTATGTAAAATTCACATTTAATTCAATGTTTAGGATGAATGCCACAATTTTGTCAAGGTTTTAGCTTTCTCTAAAAATAAGCTACTCACTTGTGGTACAAATTCACATTATCCAACATGCATGTGGAGAGAGGTAAGCAATAAAGTAACGTTTTCTTTCAAACTACGGGAAGGTCATTGTGCATTTAAACTTAATAGAAGAGTTCTTTGCATGATCCTTTTCAAAAACTGGGTTACCTAACTTCGACAGTTGAAAACTAGCGTTTAGTGACAAGATCCCACGACTGCTTGCCTCGTACTGTACTCATTTATGACTGGTCTAATATTTTAGATCGACACTCTTCAAAAGGTCAGTGGGACGATACCTTTTTCTGGCCAAGGACTTATCGACGCCAATCCCCATGCGAAATCAATATCCACATTTTCAGGTTTAATAAATATCATACAGTTTTTGTTAGAAATATTAAACGTAGAAGTTACTTTCCACTGAAAAGTTTTTTGTTGAAAAGTTTTAGATGCCGTTCTGAATCGGTCTTTTATGTCCATCAATTTCTTTTCAGACGATGGAAGATTGTTCTCTGCTGTCCCAATGGGGTTTGGAGGAAATGACAAACGAATTTTGAATACAGAATTTGACAGCTTTCAGAGTTTCCGAGTGCTCCATACTAAACAAAATAATCCATACTGGCTGGATGGTAAGAGAATTAACGATTAAAAATCTGCCGATTTGGGCGATTTCCTCCGATAGGGCCTTTCTTCGTACTGCACTCCCGCGGAAACGAATGCCAAGTGTTTATATAGATCAGTAGTGAGTAAATACAATAACCGTGTTCTAGATGTTGTCTTCCATCAAAGTTTTTCAATTGGGAAATACGTTTACTTTTTCTTTGATGAATTTGGCTTGGAATGTGCTGACTGTGATCCTCTGCGGTTCTCGAGAGTTGCAAGGATTTGCCAGGTAATACTGAGACTTCCGTCACCTCCTGATATTGTCAACTCTCTGATCGTCTGATCCTCTAACAGTAACTAGAAAACTGCAATCTTAATAGTTTGCATTAAAAAAAATTGTGATCATTTTTGTTTAAATATATTTTCAGGGTGATGATGGTGGAAATACTGTATTGAACTGGGTGAATTTTGTCACTTTTCAAAAAGCAAGATTAAACTGTTCATCAATAGGAAAATATCGATATCAGTTTAATTCTATGAGTAAGTTGTCCAGTTGATTTTTAAAATTATACTCAGTATCATTATTGCCTGTTGGAGAGACGATGATTCAAGACAAAATTTTAAATTTACCTTCTCAGAATCTAAACATCCAAACCCACCCATGGATTCACGCCCATCAAAAAAGAACAATCGCACCTACGATCTGATTTAAGAATGCAATTAAAAATAGGCCTTACCAGCTCTTTACTTGCTTGTTCAGCAAAATCTCTTAATAATTTCTTGCATTTTAGGAGATATATACTGGGATGCGCAAAAAGAAACATTTTATGGGATATTTTCAATGGAAAATAGGTAACTTGTCTATAATATCATCAGTACGTGTTAAGGCAATCCCATTTTTTACGCTTCAAAATGTAGACGTGTGACCTAATTAGAAATGGGATGATTATTACGAACTTGAATCATAGAAGCAAATCTTTGCATATCTAGAAGAATAGAAATTTAAAGTCCTTAGAACCATATTACCATTATAACCACCATGCATATTTCATATTACCTTCAGTCCTGAACAAACGATGTCAGCGGTTTGCTCGTATTCATTGAGCGATGTTGAAAAAGTTTTCTCTGGAGAAGTCAAGTACAAAGATGGGAAGGTTTGGAAAAAGATAAAGAATCCGAGCCACATAAAGGAGGTTTGTAATGTTTTAAAGCCAGGCCTGTTAAACTATAATCTTTACTAACATTAAAAAGGAATTTTTTCTCTAGTGTACTGTAGATCAAAGTGCCCTTAGATCGTCGTTTTCGTCCAGTAAAGATAGAATGAAGACACGGTCGATGACTATGAAAGCCCTAAAGGACCAAAACAAATGTATCTTGGCCTCGGATGTCGTTCAAACACGAACAAAAACAACGCCATTTTATTTGGACAATATCAGGTGAATGATTCTCTTCTCTATACCTACTAAATTTCTACTAATTTAGTTTCTAATTGATTAAATGTTGCTCTATTAGCTATTATAATAACTATTAAATTACTATCGCAGGAAACGGTTACTATATATTCTTTTCACTTTACGCTATGCAATGTATTGCTTGTTTTTTCTATAGTTTTGAAAAAGTTGTTGTTATAACGATTTATCCACCGAGTCCTAACTCCAGCAGGTCAAATAAGACAGATATCTGGTATATAACAACAGGTAGTTATTCTTTGCATGGTAGCGTCGTATCAGTCTCACCCGTTGTGTGCGAGTTACAGGTCCAGTCCCCAACACACGAGATGAACCGAAAACATGACCAAGAGTCAAATTTATTCGGTTTCGTGGTTTTCGTGTGAATTACGAATAGCCGAAACTGAAAAGTTCTAAACAGGTTCCGAAATCGTCCGGTACATGGTGTAAACGTAGCGATAATGTGACATGTTTAGTTTACGTTATATGTCACATAATTAGTTTAGAATATTGAATATTATAATTAACAAATAATTTCATTTTTCTAGATCGAGGGACTATTTTAAAACTTGGAAAAATTCCTTCTGTTGGTGAATTTTGTATTTTTGAAGAGTACAAACCATATTCGGTACGTGTCTGCGTAAGAGAATTAATGGACAGTAAAGTTTAAATATTCTGTTCTGCCCGACGGATTTGCCCCCCAATTATGGCATCCAGTTTCGGTCATGTACTACGCCATTGTCTAATACTTTCCCATTGCAGGATAATGGAATGAATAAGACAGAGCAAATAAAGGAAATGATCCTCTCTCCTGAAAAGGTAAAAGGATATTTAGTGTAAAGATTCACCTGCATGCCGTTCACCACATTTGGATTTTTCTGGTTTACAACCGCGGCGCACTGCCGTGGTGTAGTTATTCACTCCTGTTTCATGTAATATCTATATTTTTAGAATTATCTTGTCATTGGATCAAACAACAAGTTAATTCGTTTATCATTAGCAAACTGCGACAGATATTCAAGCAAAAGGTTTGTTTCCTCTAATTCTAGGGAATAATACGAAATAACGTTCCGGGTCCTAAATAAGTTCCCAAATAAATTGATGACTCATGCAGAGAGTGTTGTTCTATGGTTGTAAACTTTTAAATTGTCTGAAATTTTAGATCGTGTCTAAGTGCGCAAGATCCTATTTGTGGCTGGAGTGCGATCGACAACAAATGCCTCAGCTGGGATAAGGGGTTATATATTATTCTCTTTTAACTTTATGGACTGTTTACGGACGTGTTTTTTTAATTGAGTGTGACTCTGAATGTGCGTTATTTTTTCTTATTAGGAAAGCAGGTGACTGGGAACAAAATTTTACGTCTTGCAAAGAACGGATGCAACGGGAAGGTAACAATTTTGTCAATTTTATAGTAAAAATAAAATTGTGATTTATCAGGCACAGTCATTTGTATCATTTACGGTACTAACTATATTCCTGTTATTTTAGCTGAATGGTCAGCATGGTCTGAATGGTCTGAATGTGAAAATTCTGATGGTAATTTATGTAAATGTCGCAGAAGAACTTGTTTATTTGCTCGATTATCTTATCAATGCCAAGGAGAGGATAATGAACTAACAAACTGCACAGGTTTGTTTTATTATCTTTATTGATTCGTTTGTTATTTCTTTCTGAGTCGCTTCACCGCTACCATCCGCGCGAGAAGAAACGCTTGACACACAGCAAAAAATCATTTTCTTATTTCAAGAAAAAAAAAACTCATTTCAAGAAAATTTTCTTAAAATAAGTTCAAATTTTCTTGGGAGAATAATAAGAAAATTTTCTTACTTTTTTTCTTAAGAATTTTTTTCTTAAGAAAATTTTCTCAAAATAAGAAAAGTTGCACACAAATAATTTCTCATTTTAAGAAAAACTTTTTCTTATGATAAGAAAGTGATATCTCTGATATTTTCTTGAGAAATAATTTTCTTATTTCAAGAAAATGTTTTCTCAAATTAAGAAGAAAAAAATCTTAAGAAAATATTTTCTCAAAATAAGAAAATTATTTCTTGAAACAAGTAAATATTTTCTTAAAACAAGAAAATTCAATTTCTTAAGAAATTCATTTTTTGCTGTGCAGTGCAGGGGGGGGGGGAGGCAACCACCGCAGCTTTCGCATGGTTCGTAATTAGGTAATTGCAGTAAAACTGTAAAACTAACACACATACATTCAAGTATGATAAATTATTCCAATATACCAATATTAATCAATGTAAACCAGATAATTTATGTAAACATTTAGATGTTTTTGATTAATAATTAATTCCGTAGCTGATATATCGACCCTAACAAATAAGAATCAATGGTGGGTATATGGTGCTATACACGGAGGATGGTCAAATTGGTCAGAATGGACTGAATGTTTGCGTGGGTATAAAAATAGAACAAGAACTTGTTCGAATCCAGTGCCGGCCAATGGGGGCTTACCATGTACTGAAACTAACATGGAGTATGAATTATGTGAGCCTACCAGATGGGATGGTAAGTATAAATTGATTATTATGAAATATCACATGTGATGGATATCATGATATGTATGACATGCATTCTTATATTTTTTACACGCGTTTTAAATAGAAATTGAGGTTTTGTGATTCAGTTTAAAACTTGATTAACAATGAACCTTGCAACTGTAGAAACTGAAACGAGTCTCTGGACAAGTTGGACAAGAGTTCGAGGTCCGGAAAGAAGAATCACGAGGTTTAAAATATCTTGTAATTCAACGTCAGTTGTTACGAAAAGTTTACAACTGAATGTATTACGTAATGAAACAAAGAATTGCACCAAAGAGCTTTGTATTGGTAAGTATAGTAAATTTGGTCATGCTGTACCACTTGGAATTTATTGTTACTTTTATTATTTATTATTTTGAAAAAATTCACCCAAAGGCAAGGTGTAGCTATAACAGGACACGAAGTCCTTTACAAGATACTGCGCCTTAATTACGGTATAATAAGAATAGTCTGTAAGGATTATATATAAACACATAACAAATTAACGAGGACATATAGACATAATATTTATACGTAGACATTTAGGACAAACAATTGTGTTGGGCACTTCTGAAGAATTATCTTTTAAAAATGAGCCAGAAACTACATTTAGAAGTTCTAGACTAGTTTTACAACAGAAACATGATTTCTTTGGTGTGAACTATGATTATAATACTGATTCTACAACAGATCCTCCTAAAGTGAAAAAGAGACTTCGTGTTCTTACAAACTGGAGTTCATGGTTGTATTGCAATGCAACAACTGAAAGACTTCGCACACGTCATCTTTGTATTAAAAATATATCAAATCACTATTGGACATGCAATGAATTTGGCGTGGAAAGCATAGATCGACCTGTTACAACTAGAGCAACATCGACTTCCAGGCCTACAACGGATCCATCAACACTTGATTCCACCACTACTACTAAACAAGTTAGTTCCGAATCTACCACAGTCGAAATAACGACAAAATCTCAGACAAGTCCTACAATAACTACAACAAAACCAAGTACATTACCAAATACACCAAATATTGAATGCAAGACAACTACGCCTGGGACAGATCCTACTGGTTCAAAGACATCTAAAGATGGCGGATCCAGTACGACCTCAACTACGCTAATTACAACAGAAAATGCTACCACAAGCTCAATTGAAGATACTACTGGTTTGGTATCAACATTAGCTACTGAATTAACAACTCCTTCAGGTATTGTACCTTCTCAGGATTAAACATCATCAAGCTGTGCCCTTGTCAGTCACTTACTGTATACTAAATACTCATGGTGGAATATTTCTCCTCGGTAGTAGACTACATGGGTATGTATGGCTAGGCACAGAGGCACCCGCAACAGGATGGTATTGACTGTTATTATTTGGCGTAACTTAACAACAGAGTGGAAACAATTTACTCCCCTAACAGAATGTAACAACAATCAATATCAAATCTTGCACAGCCAAATAAGATGATTCTGCCAAGAAGTAAGCGCAATATGTTCAAGTAGATCTCCGCCACTTAGTTCTGGAAAAAATATCAACCTTCGGCCTTAATCTAAGTAACACACACATTTTGACACTTCCACTCTTCTTTCAAACTGGAGAATAATTATTTTGTGTTCATTAAAAAAACAGCCTTCTCATTCATAAAATGAGAATATTATTGTTTTACAGGTAAACCAGATATTTCCACAAAATCACAGGAGTGGTCCCCCTGGTCAGTTTGTTTGTGCAGTCATGACGTCATTTTATCGAACAGATCGCGTGGTTTGCAACATAGAACTTTAGGACAGAAGACTGAAAATTCTCATGCTCAATACAGAAGTTGCCCATGCGAAGGTAATTTTTGTCTACATGAAGAAATGCATATTTATGTAACGATTATGAACATGACTAATGCCGCCAGTAGGGAAACTTTTCCTTAAATTTGCTAAAACTTAACCACAATGGAAGTGTTACTTGCGTTCAGCTTTTCTTACCGAAATTAGATTTGTCTGGAAGCTCGCTTTAAAAGGAGTGTCACCAAGGTTCTCTCACGGTTTTTAGGGTATACCTGGGTTGAGATAACAACATTCGCGACATATGATTGAGCGAAGTATTATATTAACGAATTTAATAATTAAATCATTAACAACTAACCAAAACTAACCTAAAAATAACAATCCGTATTTTAGATGAATCAAATTAACTTCAGTCTACTAATTCAGGTAATGAAGAAGCTATCACATAATTCATAGAATATAAATTTAACCATATTTTTGAAATAACTAAGTCTCCATTTTAAATTATGGCCATTAAATGACACCTTTTAACTAAAATATAACGATAAATCTTAAATTAATTATATCTTTAAAATTATATCTTGTAACCCCCAGGTCTTATGCAGCAATTATGCGCTGTCAGACTAAAAGACACTAAAAGACTTGTAAAGAGAGTGCATGTCGTTTGACTGTCACAAGAGCGCTTTCGTTTGACGTTATTTGTTTTTGAGGAGCTTTTTTATATTAGTAGCTACGAGCGATAAATCACCAAGTTAGTTTTTTGCGGTCGTCTAAATATGTCTAGAATGTAGCTATATTAGGCCAATACTATCAGTATTGACGTTTAACTAGGTATAGCGAAGGCTAAGTATGTTGTGGTGCCTTGACGTCTGGTTTTGTGCATGTTACATATAGGTAAAAACGTTACAATGAATTAAATCCGCCTATATTCAACCATTTTCAGACTCCTTGCATTAAAAGGAGTTGTTCATCTTTGCATTAAAAGGAGTTAAATCAATCAGCTTATAGCCTTAGGTTCATCGGGCTAAATTTACTTCATTTTTGTTCTGTTTTTTCATCAAATTTCTCTTTTTAATTTTAGCTGTTCACGCTACAACTACAATTGAACCAGATATTAAAGTCAGACACAAAGACTCTGGTGAATATTCCCTTACAATGCTAATTATAATTGTCAGTATTTGTTCAGTCATCTGCATTATAATCACTATCGTCCTTGCGGTTGTTTGGCATAATAAAAGAACTAAAAGTAAAAAGCTAAATAACAATCGCAAATTTGGCAGAACAAGAGACAAATATGTACCAGTAAATGGTTATACAACAACTGGCGTGTGACCAAAATATTCCTATAGCCTCATTTACGACTTGTTGTTGCTTCAAGTTCACACCAAGAAGATTTTATCATGTAGAAACTTTTATCTATAATGCACTTGTATAAATTAGCAGGTTTTTTATATACTACTAATAACTGAGTTTCTGTCGGCCAGACTATTCGCTAGATAGCAATGACAATGCCAATTTTTTAAAACCTAATGACAATGTTTTAAGACCTAAAAAAACAATATACTCCTAATATTTTAGGTTTATAGATGGTATTATATTGTATGTAATATGTGAAATCTTCTAAATTTAATTTAAGCTAATTCAGTTTTCTGTTTTAAGAATTTTTATTGTACTTTAGTACAGAATGCATGATATATTTTAAATGTAAATTATGAACAGTTTCCATACAACAGTTTTGTCGCAAGACAATGTATATATTAGTTACGATAAAAATGAATATAATGTTTCCCTATGGCGCCTAGCTCAATATTTATCATAAAGGTAGCGTTGCTGTATCATCATCGTCGTAAAACACGCCAGCCTGAACAACTAACCACCCAATTTTTCATCACGGCTGTCGGGCTGTGTATACAGTACATAGATAATTGATAGGAGATGTTTATTTGAGTTTATATATCAGATTCCCTGGATGGACGAATATCGCCTATCACTGTTTTTCATAGTAACGCTGGCCCTTCAGCCGGCATCTCACATTAATATTATACAAAAAATACACAATATAATATCGCATTATTTCATTCTTTGCATTCCGATATAAGAATCTAGTGTTTTGTAGATGCACCATATTAAACGATCAAGTAAATCTGTTGCAGCATTTAGTAAGGTCATTTAAAGAAGAGTTGGTTCTGGAGATATTCCATCACTTTCAAATACAATAACAAATTGATTGAGAATGAAGAGTCCTTGTTTCTACGTGATTTTGATTTTCCTGTACAAAGGTGAGGTTTTCATTATGGAATGTGGTTGTTCTATAATAGATCGTTTCCCATACAATGAAATCCGCGAGTGGCCAAATCACATGCCCAAATGTTTTTACTGATGGCAATAGGTAATACTTGAGCAAAATGCAATGGTTTGCCAGTAAACTCATCGAGTATTTCATTTATTTGTGGTTTTTCTCACCGTCGATAAAAAAAACAACAACGTATAAAATTATTGTTGATATGAGACCTGCGGCTTTTTCACTCTTTTTGACAATAAATTTCATAGTACATAAAGAATTATTTGTCATGTTTTCCAAAATAATTAGCTACGGTATGCATGTGCTCATACTCATAGTTTATATTTGCTTATAATTTTTTTATCTTGGTTTATTGCCAACAATATAGTCATCTTTCGAGGCGCCCACACAAAGAAAAAGTAACGCCACAGGCACAGAAAAACAAAACTGACAATCGTACAATCGTGCATAGCCGTTCAATCCCCTTTCTTAGACTTGGTAAAATTGTACACTCGAAATTCATGCGATTTTTTAAAGAATTTTTAACCCTAAGGTCATCTAAATCTAGGTTTCGTTTCCTATTGTTTAGCGATCACAGTTTCAGAATCTTTCTTCCATGCCCACCATGTTCACGCATCTTGTTGTGGTGCAAAGATCAACCCCGACCCACATGCCGCAGTTTGCTGTGGAGGAGAACTACTGTACAAGGGAACTGGCCTAACTTCTTGTTGTGGGCAAATCAACTATAATAAAAAGACTCACATTTGTTGCGGTGGTAAGATCGAACCACGGTTACTATTTGAGGAGACAAGCTGCTGTGGAACCAGAATTATCAATCCAAGGGAGAAGGTTTGCTGTGGAGGAGAAATTTTAGATCAGATTTCTGGCAGAGTTTCATGTTGTGGTGGGGTGAACTTCAATCCCAAGACCCATATTTGTTGTGAAAATGCTGTCATAGAGCCATTTATGCACGATAGATCTTGCTGTGGACAAACGAACTACGATCCTTATTTTTATGTGTGTTGTAAAAGAAAACTTCTGCCAATTTGGACTGGTTTAACCGCTTGTTGTGATGATAAAAATTACAACCCAAAGACCCATGTGTGCTGTGGTGGTGTTATTCACGCAATAATTGCAAATCGTACAGCCTGTTGTAATAATAAGCCTGTGAATCCTGCCATAACTATATGTTGTCAAAATAATATTCTTAGTCCGGCCGGAGGAATGACAGCGTGCTGTGGTGGAACTAACTACAATCCTTATACCCATGTCTGCTGTGAAAACACGATTTTGGATGCAAAAGATGGTCGAAGATCTTGCTGTCTTAACAAGAATTATAATCGTTTTTCTGAAGTATGTTGCGCTGGGAAAATCACCTACGTCGGGTATGGTGGTGCAAAGGCTTGTTGCGGAGATATTCCATACGTACCCAGAGCTCAGATCTGTTGCCATGGCAATCTCCTGAGCACTCACGGCGGCTTTACAAAATGTTGTAATAACAGAAATTACAATCCTCACACACATGCTTGCTGTGCAGAACAAATATTGGATAAGAGAATGCGTTATTAGACATTTATGCTCATGGCTTCTCCTTAACCACAAAAGCAATAGAATGTAATCTATAATTATAAAAAAATGAGTATATATAAAGAGAATTTCATTTTACCTTCATTTACGTACTGCTCAGTAGGTCTGTACGTCTGTGCATTCCAGAAAGTTTCGTAATGTTTCATTGAAACGAGTTGTCGTTGACGTTTACTATATATACCACTATTGGTCGGCCAAATTAGGATATAGGTTGGTAAGGTTGCCACTTTTTCATTAATCTTATGTTAAACGTGTACAACGTAAAAGATTTGCTTCAGATTTCATTTCCCTTTGCGATGCACTATTATGCCCATTGCAATGATAAATTCACAATTCAAATGAATTTATTCAAACAGTTAACCATGAAATAAGAAGTTCGCTCCAACCCCCGCACGGGCTCTAGCGGAGTAATTGAGTGCTACAATAATGTATGCATGTTGAGGTTATTATTCTCATCGAAAAGACGCAGGTGAGAACGAATAAGGACAAATAAACAAATGATAACGAAAATAGATGTAAATACAATAGTGGGATAAAAACCATACGCTGGTTGCAGTCTTAGCCTCTTTGGATATTTCACAACCGTCTCCCACTCACCAACCCTGTGCATTTCACGACTGTCACCCACTCACCACTCTCCGTTGCACTCACTCTTGCATTCTACATATTTTATATTGCTTATTTATTACTATTTGTTCGTCATTTATGAAGTAACTCTCCATATTTGTCTTTCCTTAAACATCCATGCAATATGACTTCCAGCTATTATCCCCATTATTTAGAGTGGAGATTTGTTTTGATATAACTCCAAACATTAGTAAATCGTTGGCATCTTAAAGTCAACCCGATTGCCAAACCGGCTGAGCGTACCGGTGACGGTGACGACACGGATATCGCATAACGGCATAACCTTGTATTATTGTTTGCAAAAAAGAAACCAAGTTTGTACTCGTTTTATGAAATTGATAGGAGATGTTTATTTGAATTTATATCAGACTCCCTGGATAGACGAAAATCGCCTATCACTGTTTTTCATAATAACGCTGGCCCAATATAATATCGCATCATTTCATTCTTTGCATTCCGATATAAGAATCTAGTGTTTTGTGCATGCACCATATTAAACGATCAAGTAAATTCTGTTGCAGCATTTAGTAAGGTCATTTAAAGAAGAGTTGGTTCTGGAGATATTCCATCACTTTCAAATACAATAACAAATTGATTGAGAATGAAGAATCCTTGTTTCTACGTGATTTTGATTTTCCTGTACAAAGGTGAGGTTTTCATTATGGAATGTGGTCATCGTGTACACTTGTTCCATAATAGATCGTTTTCCATACAATGAAATCCGCGAGTGGCCAAATCACATGCCCAAATGTTTTTACTGATGGCAATAGATAATACTTGAGCAAAATGCAATGGTTTGCCAGTAAACTCATCGAGTATTTCATTTATTTGTGATTTTTCTCACGGTCGATAAAGAAAACAACAACGTATAAAATTATTGTTGATATGGGACTCGCAGCTGTATCGCTTTCACCAGCCGACTTTAAATAAATTGAAGTATTAATTAACTTCCGTGAGATAGCTACCACGCAAATTTGTAAAGAGTTCGTTGTTTTCTCAACCTGCAGACTCTCCAACAGTACAACTTGTCAAAAATTGCGATAACAAACCCTGCATGGAGCTCAGTTTTGAACCACGGCATCGTAGCTGCGCACTGTTGGGTTTTGCGGCTTTTTTACTCTTTTTGACAATAAATTTCATAGTACATACATTAAGAATATTATGTTTTCCAAAATAATTAGCTACGGTATGCATGTGCTCATACTCATAGTTTATATTTGCTTATAATTATCTTGGTTTATTGCCAACAATATAGTCATCTTTCGAGGCGCCCACACAAAAAATAAGCCGGTAACGCCACAGAAAAACAAAACTGACAATCGTACAATCGTGCATAGCCGTTCAATCCCCTTTCTTAGACTTAGTAAAATTGTACACTCGAAATTCATGCGATTTTTTAAAGAATTTTTAAGCCTAAGGTGATCTAAATCTAGGTTTCGTTTCCTATCGTTTAGCGATCACAGTTTCAGAATCTTTCTTCCATGCCCACCATGTTCACGCATCTTGTTGTGGTGCAAAGATCAACCCCGACCCACACACCACAGTTTGCTGTGGAGGAGAACTACTGTACAAGGGAACTGGCCTAACTTCTTGTTGTGGGCAAATCAACTATAATAAAAAGACTCATATTTGTTGCGGTGGTAAGATCGAACCACGGTTACTATTTGAGGAGACAAGCTGCTGTGGAACCAGAATTATCAATCCAAAGAAAAAGGTTTGCTGTAGAGGAGAAATTTTAGATCAGATGTCTGGCAGAGTTTCATGTTGTGGTGGGGTGAACTTCAATCCCAAGACCCATATTGTTGTGAAATGCTGTCATAGAGCCATTTATGCACGATAGATCTTGCTGTGGACAAACGAACTACGATCCTTATTTTTATGTGTGTTGTGAAAGAAAACTTCTGCTAATTTGGAATGGTTTAACCGCTTGTTGTGATGATAAAAATTACAACCCAAAGACCCATGTGTGCTGTGGTGGTGTTATTCACTTAATAGTCGCCAATCGTACAGCCTGTTGTGATGATAAGCCTGTGAATCCTGCCATAACTATATGTTGTCAAGATAATATGCTCAGTCCTGCCGGAGGAATGACAGCGTGCTGTGGTGGAACTAACTACAATCCTACTACCCATGTCTGTTGTGACAACACAATTTTGGGTGCAAAATATAGTCGAAGATCTTGCTGTCTTAACAAGAATTATGATCCTTTTTTTGAAGTATGTTGCGGTGGAAAAATCACCTACGTCGGGTATGGTGGTGCAAAGGCTTGTTGCGGAGATAGTCCATACGTACCCGGAGCTCAGATCTGTTGCCATGGCAATGCCCTCAGCACTCACGGCGGCTTTACAAAATGTTGTAAAGACAAGAATTACAATCCTCACACACATGCTTGCTGCGCAGAACAAATATTGGATAAGAGAATGCGTCATTAGACAATTATGCTCATGGCTTCTCGTTAACCACAAAAGCAATAGAATGTAATCTATAATTATAAAAAAATGAGTATATTTAAAGAGAATTGTACCTTCATTTACGTACTGTTCAGACCTCAGTAGGTCTGTACGCCTGTGCATTCCAGAAAGTTTCGTAATGTTTCATTGAAACGAGTTGTCGTTGACGTTTACTATATACCACTATTGGTCGGCAAAATTAGGATATAGGTTGGTAAGGTTGCCACTTTTTCATTAATCTTATGTTAAACGTGTACAACGTAAAAGATTTGCTTCAGATTTCATTTCCCTTTGCGATGTACTATTATGCCCATTGCAATAATTAATTCACAAATCACAATTCAAATGAATTTGTTCAACTGACAGTCAACCATGAAATAAGAAGTTCGCTCCAACCCCCGCACGGGCTCTAGCGGAGTAATCGAAAGCTATAATAATTATGTTGAGGTTGTTTTTTTTCATTGAAAAGACGCAGGTGACATCATAACCGACAACTCACTGGGATCAACTCATAGGATCAACTAAATAAAATTTCATTTAAGTTTTGAGTTAAGTTTAATTAATATTATATTCTCTATGTCTGTACATATATTTTCTTTGAACGTTTATCATTTTCCATATTCGGTCATAAAATAGTTTTTATTCTGCATTTGCATGCCATTTTTCATCTTCCATTTCATATGGTTCAAATTCCTTTGCTGTCCTAGTGCCCATTTTTCGACTTTTTTGTAAGAATGATGCAACACTAAAAATTGAGAAGACTGGTATATAATTATTATATAATAATGCATCTATGAAAAAGAGCAATAGTATTTCTATAGCAGTTCTGTAGAAGTATACTTGGTGCTTCCGTCATTTTGAATGAGAAAATTTAGGAATCTTGTCTTACGTAGGTAGGGATATCAGTCACGAGAAATATTTAGAGTCAATAATATTTCAGATAGAGTAAAAAAAATTCAACGCGCACCCTTTTGACTTGATGTTCAATTTTGAAGGAATATTTCTTCGTTTTCCCCAATCCTTGCCATTCCCCCATTTCTCCCAAGAACTGATTGACTCAACTTGAATAACAATCAAAACGATAAGAAATATATGCAAAGTATTTATTAACTTTGGCATCTCGTCTTTCAAGTTTTGAAATCTAAAATGAAAGGTAACTGGTTAAACTCACATGAATGCATATAGGATATGTGTGCATGGCCGCTTTTACAAAACATTTATAAGGCTAATTTCATTGCAAACTTTTTTATTAAAACTTATTTCATTGCATGGAATTCTATCTTTTATATGGTACAAGATACATTCAGTAAACCATTTTATAGTCCATGTGTTAGTAGAGTTAGACAACATAACTTTGAATGAAATTTCAGTGTAAAAAGGATGACGGACATTATCCGGCGCAGAGGGTAGAAAAGTTAACGCTTTGCCAGTTTTGTTCTAAAAGATCCTACTCAGTAAAGAGCATGCAATTTAGAATTCCGAGTAAACGGCAAATTTTATTAGCTCAAGGAACTGTAAGCCCGCTGTGCGCTTATTTTTTTAAGGGGCTTTGTTTATTAAATACTGGGCGTTTATTGCTTAATTCTGATTGCGTTTTTAATTAACCACGCTTTTGTTTGCATCTGTACGTCAACTGCCAACAACTGATAAGAAATGTTATAAGTTATAACTATATATATGACTTATATATGACGTATCCATGCCACTAAATTCCACATGCAGGACAACACAACAAACTAGATAACACCATTACCAGAATCAGTGTTCTTTTGTAAGAATCGTTTTTGCTTTTAAATCACAAATTTATTTGTAGTTCCCTCATTCCTGTTACGGCCCTGTGGTTTGCAGCCGTTGCGAGTGGGCTCTATAGTTTCACTGTTAGAATGTGGGCAGAGTCTAGCTGCCAATGGAAAACAGGAATGCCAGTCAAATTCTTTGTGTCATTTTGAATTAGCCGTACTGAAATTTTCTGTTTTCTAGTGCATTCAAGAGGATTTGTTTGCAGTTTGGCATGCAATTAAATCTTTTGGCAGCCAAAATATCTCATAATTAAATTTCATATAAATAAGAATATCTAAGAAGTACTTTTCTATAATGAAAATCCATGTCTGAATGGGTAAATTTTCAAAATTAATTTTCAAATTGTTTTTGAAGCCACAGTTCCTCTTAATCTTAAAGAGTTATGTTATTATTTGCATTTTTATAAACAAAAATATATTTTTGCAACTTCTTCAGCCTGTTCCCAGTATCACACAGCAAAACCAGGCATTTACGTACCTATTTTTTAGCTCAGTACCGTCAGTACGACGTACCTGACGATACAGAATGACGCATCATTAATAATATCACTGACAAGTTAATGGCTATTTTTGAACTAAAACACGGACTATACCGGCGAATTTAATGACCGAAGTATATATATATATATACTTTTTTCCAAGCAAAATAGTTGAATTTGGGAGGGAATGGGTATATGAAACATTTCATGAAGAATCAGATATTCGATCCTTAATTTGGGTCTGACCAACGATATAATGTTTGGCAGAAATTTCATTTCCTTCCTTGAAGGGAAGACAATATTATCCGAGGCACTCGAAATGCTAGATATTATTGTGTTTTATAGTTTAAGTCGAAACTGTCGAATCAAGAGATCCTGCAGAACTTTTTTAAACTTTAATGAAATACAATAAAGCTAGCGCAACAATTAGGAATGGTTAAGACTAGATTAAATCATTTGCTTTTAAAAAGACTGGAGGCTAAACAGAGACAATCGACAACTTATTTCATTATTGTATAATATTTCTCGGCATATTATTTTTCTAAAATGCCTCGTCTAAAAAGTATGTTGACCGTAAATGTGAATTTTTTTATCATCATGAAATAATATTAACGCAACTTACCTTAAAACCGGCGTTGCCGAAGTCTAAGAAGAGCATCAACGGTTGGTTCTGAATGAAAAAAATCGTGTCTTCCTGCCCACCTTAAATAACCCTTCCCATACTAAATTACAATATGTGCATGAGTTAATGTTTCTGAGTTCATTTCAACTTACATGTCAAATTTGATCTATTAACGTTAATTATATTGCGCGACATTCGCAATACAATATTTCAGTTCATGCATGCATGCATGCAGTATTAAAATATTAAATATAGCAGATAATATGACATGATAATATGACACGATATTATAAGTGATATATTTGCGACGCTAATCCATTAAGTCAGTAAATGTTTTCGTTATTACACCTATGATGATTATACGAAAAACGTCATATTTAATAAAGGCTAAAAGTGACATTGGCAATGAATCGCGATCAGGGTTGTATGCTGCCTGCTACGATAGCAGTTTTTTTTACTTATCACCTTTATGTTATGTTATACAGCCACCCTAGTTCTTTCGATAAAATCTGACTTTTTAACAATGGATTAGATTGACATTGTGTGATTTGGAGCCAATGGGTTCCAAGCAAATTTAGGAAGTATACTATGACGTTATACTTCAAACAGCTCTATTCTTGCATTTGCCCATCACTGAAAAGCGAACAGAGAAAGGCGAATATTATTTTATTAAATCAATTTAATTTGAAGCTGACGTATCATTAAATATACGTATTTATAGTGAAGGCAAATATCATGTTTTTTAGTTCAGGACAATAATTCTCCTCAGTAACGAAGTAAAATTCATTCCTATATAACTATAAGTAAGTACCTATAGCTTCAGAGCAGTTACCTTTTTATATAAGTTGTACTCGAATAAATTCTAGAATACACAGTTCATAAAACAATGTAATAATATAATATACAACCATGCAGGAGACAGATGTTAGCGCTATATTTGTCCAATAAAGTTAAAACAACAAGTATAAATGGAATATTCGAAAGTGCGTTTGTCGAGCGTAATTTTAGGATGTTTTGACGGAAAGGGCTTTGCTCAATCCATGCACTTTACCGAATTGATATATTCTAGATTTTCTGGACTGATAATTGCAAAATGAATAACATGTATATTGATTAGATATTATTATTATGATGTATTATGATTTATAACATGGTTTATTGCACGCCCTATCTGTCCGATAAAAGCATAATGACCGCTCATTACGCCTTGTTATTATATACGCTTGATATGATGAAAGATAAAAGTGATTTTTACTATCCTATAAGGCCTAACGAAACAATTGATAAGAATGAGTTGGATATTTAGTTTCTGTCGAATGTATTTTGTTCATCAAAAATGCCATGTAATGAAATATTTACACCTATTAAGGCAGAGGAGTTCCATTCACTAGTATATAACCTTTTTATTATCATTCAAACAACCAGGAACTTTAGTATAACTGAAGTCCCCAAAGACGTTTTTTTTAAAAATGCAATCACCTAAATGAAAAGCGATATTAGATTTACGCACGATATGAAAAGCGAAATTATTTGCACACGATTCCTCTGGATGAACTAGGAGGCCCTTTTCCGTCTGCCCAGAAGTGCAGGCACGCGTCCATTTTGGAGGAATAAAAATGTTAAAAAACATTTCGATAAAGTCGGGTAAAACTGGTTAAACACTTACAGGATGGTTGAATGAACGCTTCGTCATTGAAGCGCTTTGGGTAAACTGAATTTATGATTGTAAAAAGCATTATTGCTAAAGGGAGTAGTTTCGCTTTGCTTGTGTTTGTCGTTGATAGAATGATGTTATATGTCTGTGCATTTAACCAAAATTCAATTGTCACTTGCAGATGTTTTCATTAGTTTTAAATTTGCCATGCATCAATGTCAGTTTAGGAACCAGCTAAGCCGGGATGGAACCCACGGGAGAGAAAGACATGTTTTCACCTGTTTTATAACTCAGCAGGATAGTATCGACGTAGCTTTCATACATGAGGCGTGTTTCATACATAAAATATATGACCAGAATCCATAGTACCTGTTCGCCCACTAAAATTTATAACATGCATGTGAATTTACTGGCTTCTTTCGTTGAACAAAATGAAGAAAAATTAACGAGACTTCAACATTCAACAAAACTGTACGAAAGTTTTTTCAGAAAACATAATTTCTCAGTCATTTCATTTAAATCCTCTTTCCCGGCAATTTCCGACACGCGCGCTCCCTGCTGGGATGTGAAACTAAAAAGACGTCATTGTAGACGTCACTGTTTCAACGACGGCTGGCACCGAAACATCCAACTATGTGTTTATCTCAATATGTTTGAAGAACTTGTGAACTGCTGGGTCATATCCAGGTATAACATACATGCAGCCTGTGATTATCTTCCTATTCATACGCTGTGGTATCATTTCATAAAAAAGTTAATGTGTAAAAATGTAATTTCATGGCACGGTTGACGAAAGGCCGTAACACAAATAATTTTACGACTCGAAGTCTCTAAAATCTCATGGAACTTAATTCCTTCAGACACTGCGTATATACTGTGGAAACCCCGAAGAAATCTCGGGTTATTTGTAAGAGAAAGAAATCAGAGATTATGCACTAGGCTCGTTTTATATGCCGTATTTTACTCTGTGGAATGAACATTCAAAACAATACAACTTAGTAACCATTACCAGCCAACAATTTAAAAAAGTAAAGTAAAAAACAAGATGTCTTGTTTATTAATGTCGACCTCATGAATTATCTCAGTGGCGTGAATAATCATCCATTGTACATATGCATAGTGTACCAAAAAAAGTCCCCCCATTGAAATGAAGCTTTTGTTGGAATTTGAATGCATGATCAACGCAGTAGTGTGTAAATAGCATTGTTATTAGGTTGAGGCATTCAAATAGAGCGTCTTGCTTTCATGATTATTATTCTAACAGGCTCAATTGGGCTCAATCAGATTCTAACAAAGGCTTGATTTCAACAGAGTTGTATTCAATCATGATTATTATTCTAACAGACTCAATTGGGCTCAATCAGATTCTAACAAAGGCTTGATTTCAACAGAGTTGTATTCAAAATTTCAAAGCTTTTATTTCTAATTCAATCTATCCCGGTTCAGGAGGAGAATTAATCATATTATAAGATTGTCCAATCAGAAGCATTGTTGAGGTGTCAGGCCGGGCGTGTTTAGCCAATAGGCATGGCTTATTTTCCAACACGAGGAGCGGGTAAAATGAAATATTCACCTCTAATTTCAATTTGAAGCATCATTTGGGCACTGGTTATAGAAGAGTAAAGACATATAGCTTTTACACTTGAGAGTTAAACCTGAAATTGCTAGCAATGTTCCTATCCTTTGCAGAAGAGATGTTTAACATCTCTGACGCTCTGTTGTTGCTGTAAGATCAGGTAATTTGCCTTTCTTTTTAGGATTATCTACTTGCTTTATTGAGAGATTTAGGCCACGAATGTCTTTGTGAATGTTGGCCACGTGCTGTGTCTAATTTCACCTGGTGTTGTAATGCACCTTGAGTTGCGTTTGCTTTGAGTATATTCTTTTAACACTAAAGTGTTTTTTATTCATTTCACGCCGGCAGAGTTGTGACGACTGAAGGTCAAACTAGACGATAAGCTTCGTGAATAAGAGATCAATGATGGCTGGAACGGCTGAAAATAACTCCCCTGAAGAGAGAGCACGACTAGCTTTTTCTCGAAATTTATTGGCGAGATGAAGAAGGTAATATAGGCTAAAACATATGTGAATTTAGCTACAGGAGTTTGAATGTCGCGTAATCCAGCCCGGCATTCTGGCATGTAAATTTCAAGCAAATTAAAACTTTGAGTAAATTTCTAACGTTAACTTATCAAAATACTATATATAACGACGCCTTTTGTTCTTTTCAGGTGGAGTTTAAGGGAGTGGAAATCTAGTGGGCAAGAAATTCGCCAGCGAAAATTAAGGCTGAAATTGCCCGAGATAATTGACTCGCATTTGAGGAGACAGCAAGTCCAAAGCTGCTCTTCGACACTTGATCCTGAGACGAACAGGTAAATTGTGTTTATTTGACTCACAAAGGGATGGAAAAGTTTGATCGGGCTGAACTAAGCTTGTTCTCTTAGGGACCGTTTTAAAATCACTGTCGTCTAACAATCATTACCTTTATTTTATTTCATGTAGAGATGTAGCGACTAGCGAGTCAAAGTCATTTGAAACGACGATAAACCTGTTCAGAATAAAATGTAAGTATTAAACCAATTGAACATTTTAAATATAGAACAAACTTTTAATGGGGAGCGTATTCCTTAATAATAGAGACCTTAGCTTGACGTTTACGACAACCCTCTAACGGCAAACAGAAAAATTCATTTCGAATTTTCAAAACAAATGCTAGCTTTCTGAGGCTGAGAAAATTGGTGCATTATTTTCAAACATAGTTGAACTACTAAAACAAATTGTGGCCGAAAAAGTGCCAAAAATCTAATTTTAGATGTTATTTAAAATTAGCGGTTTGCTGTTCGCGGTTTGTCATATTGGTTAAGCTAAAGGTCTCTAATACTAGGCCGGAAACGACAACTGCTGGTATTTCAATAGCTCACAATTCATATATAATAGGCATAAAAATAAATAAAATCCCTGAGGCATTTTATAGACGCATCATTTATGGTCTGCATATACTCAACAACAACAAAGAATGCATAAATAATCGCACATTTTATTTGCCAAGCCTGATACTCTGAGAGTGAGAAAGTGCATGATATGTAACGTACGTAACAATACTCCAAAGCATGAAACTCTCCTTAACCAGTGTAGTTCTCGATTTCCCTGAACCGAACTGTATTAGTACGACTATAACAACGCAACTATAGTATATAGAAGATTGTCTGCAAACTTTATTGAGGTTCGTTTTGTTGCATAAATATACTCAGTCAATTTTATCCCACGTACGTTATAATAAAAATAGTTTGCTTAAAATCATACCCCATATTAAGAAATGCGATATAAAAATCTAGATTGCTTATTTTTATCCTAAATCTTTCTTTAGGTTGATGAAATATTATAAAATCAAAGTTCCGACAAAGCAAAGCGATGCAGAACGAAGCCAA